ATATTATGAACAAAAATAAAAAGTAAAAATATAGTACGTGTAGCATATGTAAAAATAAAAGGAAAACCATAAGGAAACAAACAAACAAAAAAACCCAATGCAAAAGAAGTAAAAACAAACATTGGATGTGACATTTAAACTTCTTTAATAACAGATAAAATTTTAGATAAAGTGAAAATAAAATGCAATTTCTTACTATTAATAAATATGTAACCTTGAAAAATACAAAACTTTTTTTAAAAAAGAGGACCAAAGACACATCAAGTAAACAACATCAACACAGAAAGCAGAATGGCAATATTAATATTAAAATAAAATTCAAAGAAAAGTTATTAACAACAGTTTTTTAATATTAAATCTATACATCATAATAGCATAATGGTTATGAGACAAAACATTAAATTCTACAAAGAATGTTTTCAATGAAAGCAATTCACAAAAATTCAATCATATTGAAAATTTTTAACATACCACTAATCTCAAGCCTTGAGAGAGAAAATGAAAAAAAAAGTAATCAAAGATGTGATTAGTATAATTGATTAGTTTGATTTGATAAATATATTTCTATTATTTTCCTCTATGATCAAAGAACATACTTTATTTTCAAAATCCAGAATGTTTTTACAAATTGATGGCTTCTTTGCTTTAAAATACATTTGGCTCTCAATACATTTCAAAAAGTATAAATTTTGAATAGGTTACATTCTCTAATTACAAATGTGATTAATCTAAAAATTAAACGACAAGTTTAAATTAAAAATTAAAAGACAAGTTTAAATTAAAATATCTAGACACAAGGAAATTTTAATGCATTCTTCTTCTCTGGCAAATAGAAATTTTGAGTCAATTAGAAAATTAAGAATGCATTTATAAACAATTAGGGAAACATCACTGGTACTGTAGCATGTCAAACCTTAATCATAAACAAAACTGCACACTGGAGCAAACTTACATTTTCATTACTAAGCTAGAGCATGCAGTTACAAGCCTACAAATCAAGAATTTAGGTGAAGATTTAAAAAAAAATCATGTCTAAAAAAACAGAAAGAAGAAAGTAATGAAATTACAAACAAAAATTAATCAATTACGTAACAAAGAAACAGAATTCAAAAGCCATTTCTTTGGAAAAATTAAGTGAAATAAGTATTTGACAAGCATAATACACAAAAAAGATAAACCCACATACGTCAACTTAGGGATTAGAAAAGGAAGATAATGACAAATACTAAGTTTACATGTTTTAAGTTTATAAAACTCAAAATGTCTTTTAAATATCTAGAAAATTTTCTGAAATAATATAAATTTTCAAAGTTGAATCAATAAGCATATATTTTTTTTACAAAGCTACAATGACTGATCAAAAGCTTTCCAAAGTATTATTTCCCAAAAAGGCTAAAAACATTCTTTCAAATGTAAATTTGAAACAGATAATTCTTATGCTATAAAAACTGTTCCAAAACATTGAAAATTAAGCAGTTTTTTTAGTTAATTTTATAAAGCTGCACAGAATCTGACAAAGATGACCAAAAAAAAAAAAGATAAAATCCGAGTTTCTAAATATATTACATTGGAAATTAGGTCTAAGCCTTGTTAAAGAAAAATGGATTCTGTACCAAGTAAGTTTGAGATACACACCTTCTGTGTAAGATCAACAATGTACACCACCATACTGAAGAATCTGAGAGATTCTGCAGTTGTAAGTTATTAACTCAGAGCATTTCAAAATTATTTAGACACTAGACTCTTTTAAAAATTACACTTATATTTAAATGTGTTAATGTGTCTCTAATGCCTGAGACATAGTGGGTCCTCAATAAATGTTTTTTTCTTTCTCTCTCTCTCATTCTTTTTTCTGATGGTAAGCGTTCATGGCATTGACAGTGGATGGCATTGATTTTAAGCATGGCCATTCAGGCCTGGCCTAGATCTGGTATGATTATAGAGCTGATTAAAACTGTTATCATTCTTGGCAATGTGAAAGTAAAGGTACAGCTAACAGAAAGAGAGATGGAAGAGAATTTAGAGACCTGGAGGGAAAGAAGGAAGTTCTAAGTTCTTCATTTTGCAAAATGAAAAAATATCATACTGTTTATGTCTGTTGAACAAAAGTGGAGGAACTGAAGTGACATTTGAGGAACTCAGAATAGTGACCTCAATACATATAGGTTACTGGAGAATAACAATAGAGGATGTGTGACATTAGTCCTAATCTATCAGAGTAGGCAGTCAATATATGTTGCTCAAAGTTGAGTCAAGAAAGTGATATGAGCATATGTTAATATTTAAAGGTATGAAAATGACCATCAGAAAGACCAATAAACAAGCTGGGTGCACTGGTGTGGGACTGTAGTACCAGCAGCTTGGGAGGTGAAGAGGCAAAAGGATTGCTTGAACCTTGGAGCTCAAGGCCAGCTTGGGCAACATAGGGAGATCCTGTTTCTTTAAAGGAGAAGAAGGAGGAGGAGGAGAAGGAAGAGGAGGAGGAGGAAAAAATTTTTAAAAAGAAAAATAAAAGAGGAAAAAAAAGCAACAAACCAAACTGATTAGTAATTGCTTTTGAGGAATACAAGTGAAGGTGAGGTGGAGCACTTACATCTCATTTTAAATAGTTTTGTACCATTTGATTTTTTTGAACCATGGGCATGTCTTAGTATGTTAAAACTTTTCTAACTTAGATGTGCATAATTGACTTTTAGCAGAGTTATGAAAGCCAGCAATTTAGGATGTAGATTAATACAGGTACAACATGGCTGTCTGAACTTGAGAAAACTGTTTAAATCGTGGCTCTTACAAAAAACAATGGCAATATAGCACCTCTTGTATTATCCTGGATAGAGCTGGAACCCATTCCACTAAGTGAAATATCCCGAGAATGGAAAAACAAGAACCACATGTACTCACCAGCAAATCCGTTTTAACTGATCAACACTTAAGTGCACATATAGTAATAACTTTGATCAGGTGTCGGGCAGATGGGAGGGGGCAGGAAGGGGTGGGTATATACACCCCTAATGGGTGTGGTGTGCACCATCTGGGGGATGGACATGCTTGAAGCTCTGACTAGGTGGGGCAAGGGCAATATACATAACCTAAACATTTGTACCCCCATAATACGCCGAAAGAAAAAAAGAGAAAAAGAAATAAATCATGGCTCTGTCAAATACTAGAACTTTTTGGCTTTTGACAAGTCACTAAAACTCTTTAAGCCTGTTTCTTCCTCTGAAAATATCAGTAATAATACCTAACACATAGCTTATTTTGATCTTTGAAATTGAGAATCTCTAAGGCTCTCAGCACTCATATAGAAGGTGCTTAATATAAATTGTTATATTTAATAGTTGTTATAAAAATTATAAAATGATAATTACTGTCAAGTATATGTTATAGCCAATTTATTCCTTGAATCTTCCCTTATGTGCAAGTATGGGCTTGTAATATTTAAGTGGAAATTCCTTTAATGCAGATGGCCACAAAAGTTCTTCTAGCAGTTTCTAGAGGGTTCAGATGGTTTGTTTTTATTACCTGCTTCAGAGGTGACATGATGTAATGGAAGAACCCAGCATTAGTTTGCCTGCCTCCACCTTGGGCAAGTCATCTAATCCAATTTAATTCACTCCATCTGTGACATGTCATTGCTGGAGCTTTACCTGGCTGAAGGTTCTAGGGAATCAGATGTTCACTGGAGATTCTGGTCATCTCTAGGGGCCATAGCTGTAGAATAAGAGTATAATGTGGTCCATTGAATATGGTGCAATTGTAGGATTCCACACATCAATCATGGGGTTCCCTTTAATATTTGGCCCTGGGACTGATGGAATTGTTTTGACCTCTGAAAAGGGGTTTAGTTTGCTTTAAAAAAATTAATCATGTGCTTTCTCAGGCATAAAAAGCCTTGTTTACTTTGGTCATCTGATTCTACCTATCAAAAATATCAGTGTACTTCTTAGTAAATTCAATTCCACATTAAATAATACCCTCATATGCCATACAGCTGAGTTTGGTATATATAATTCCACTGTTAAATGAATGATTATGTGTAAAAATCCGCTTCCTTTTAAATGACATTCAGTCCTCTTATGAAAAAGATCATCATTTAATCATCCTTTATAGCTTTTTATTTTCAAGTTATTTAACAGTAAGTTGACTAGGATTCTGTTCAGAAACTTACTTGCAAAGAAGTTATTTTTCAAGATATTATGACAAAAAATCTTTGAAAAATAAGAAGGATGTGGGAGACAGGATAAGGAATTTTAATTTTAATTACAGTTCTACAAAGAGAACTCTGAACAAGTGTACTCCCTTGTAAATATTGATACAGAGATGACAAAAAGGACTCCTGCTCACCAGGTATAGTAGGGTAACAGCAGATCAGAGATAAGACTGCTGGTAACAAAACATAAGTCTATTTTCATTTTTTAAAATAGCAACATATGAAACAATCAAACATCACCAATTCAAATAAAATGACAAGGTTATTATATAAAGGACATTTCCTCTTCTCTCCATTCCCAAACTTTCTGTCTCTATTTTTTCCATTCATATTCACCAGACTGCTATAGAAAGGGTAATATTAAAAGACCACAAGCCATTTTGTTTGTCCTATTTGACCCCTTCACTATACGAGTAAGGCTGCTGCATTTTTGAATTTGCCTTTGTTGTTGGACTTAGATTCCAACAAACGCTTTAAACAGACTCCTCCGTTAGGAGTGTCCTGTTGATATTTTCTGTTTATCCTAAATGCTACTAAGAACCGTTTTGCAATTCTAAGTCTCTATAATTCTAAGGGTCACCCTTGATTATCTGACAAAATTAAATAGCATGTTTTGGGTAGAGTGTATTATTTCAAACCGTAAATCAACAACACTTGAAGAAAAGAATATGCTAAATAAATTCTTTGTGCGGTTCATACAGTTGTTGATCATCTACATGTTGTTGAAATACACAGATGAAGACAATTATAGGAGCAAACTGATCTAATGAAATAAAGTGATGCAGAGACAGTACCAATAATAGAAGCAGTTTATTTAGCATCATGTTATTGAGTCAGGTTGGAAAGACAATTTTAGGTTTATATCTGGGTTGAATCCTGACTGTGCCCCTCCGAGGTTAAGGAATTTATCTAACCTCTCTCAGCCTCAGTTTTATCATGGGGATTCTGATACTAAGACTGCTGTAAAGATTAATACAATTTTTGGAGTGTTTGGCATATAATCGAATTATGGGCCTCCATTCTGACCTTGAAAATCTCCTTGGTAAGCATAAGTCCTCCTCTCGTCCATTCGAGGGACTCTGTGGCTGCACTCATACAGAATGTCCTTCAGGCTTTTTTTTTTTTCCCTAACCCAACTTTTTATTCTACCCAGTCTTTCCCTGTTTGTACAGGACTAACAGAATGCAGACAGTGTTGAGTGTGAGCTGGTGGTAGCAGAATAGGTTGCCTCACCTAGGGTGGTCTCTGTCTTAAGTCTGCTTTTCCTGGAAGCTATGGTGGAGGAAGAAAAACACAGCACATACTAGAGCTGAAGATTAAAGATGGTGGCCTGCCGAACCTACTAACCCTAGTGAGAGGAGCGCCAAGGAGCCAGGCAAGAGGAAATGGAAATGCCTGGCTTGAGTTTTTCAGTTGCAGAGAAACAGAGCCATCTAGCAGGCTGCACCCATGGCAGCTTCTTATACCAGGAGTCTCCAGACCCTGTGCTAGACGACAAGCGGAGCACCAAAAGGTACCACACCTGGCCTTACCATCGCTCATCCGTCTCTCTCCTGTTATAACACCTAAGCTTATTGTAGACTGTCGGAAATTCAACTTTCAAGCATCTTTTAGGAACACATCATATCCATAAGTAGGGAGCATATATACAATAAAATATGGGTAGTATTGTATTTAACAATATTCTTTAATCCACTTGAGTCACAGAAGGACAATAACGCATGTTAACATTAATTTTATTACTTTACAACCATGGTCACTTATAGTGTCACACAAAAAGCACATGCAAATGAATAGTAGAAGAGTAGAATAATAATCCAAAAGTCTAACCTCCAAGATCATTTGCTACTATACATTTCTATGTCAATTGTTGCATTTCAAAGAAAAGAAGGAGTTTAAAATGAAATCTTTCTCTCCGTGTTCTGGCTTAATCCTAACATCGTCATTAAGGCGATTCTTGAAGAAGCCCAAGAATTAATTTTTTAACAGTGTTCTCTTACTCTACACAAGTAACTCACTTTAGAAATTTCTTTAAATATAACCACGCATAAGACAATAAGGACAATTGTTCTACTAGAAATACAGCTAATACATAGTTGGGCACAAGGAAAAATAAAGCAGAATAAGTAAATAATATAAGAAATTGTATATAAATTAAAAGTTTTAAATTAGTTTTATCATCTGCATCTTCTGTTATATGTTTAATTATATTTGTTATCAGGTATATTATCTAATGCCTAGGGTCAAAAACAAAGCAGACATTTTTTGACAGGAGAAAGAAATTACACATTTAGAATGCTTTTGATTAAAATTTATTTGTTTGCAAAATGTCCACCAATTAGAAAACATTTTCTAAAGTCGTGTTTCCTTGCCTGGCCAGTAGTTGGGCTGTAGCAAATGATCATTCGTAGTACAATTTTCCTTCAGGAATCTTTCAGACACCATCGTTCTGTCTCTCTTGGTTATGAAGCTTCTATGCTTTGAAACATAATTTTTCTTTAAAATGAAAAGTACTGCCATGCTTAGGAAAATGGACACTGTGCCCAATATCACAGTTAGTCCCAGATATATGTGTCTGGAAGAAGAGAGAATCTGAGTCATAATTATTACAACCACTCAACTTGAAATACAATGTACAGAAAGGTAATAATATCATTCTGATGGTTTTCTTTAAGAATGGAGATTTTGGTGGCTATAATAGACCTTTCTGTGAACATTGGTAGATTATTGAAGGCACTTTATTAATATAAAGTAATTTCTCGTTGCACCATTATTTTCAGTTACTACTAATTACATAACCGGTTCCACCCTTTCTGTAAATTATTCCCTTGAACAAGGTGACCATATTCCTGAATTCCTTGAACAGCCCGAATTTATGCTTGTGTCAGCCCAGTGTCATTTTAATAGTGCCCTCTTTCACTCTCAAAAGTGTCCCGGTTTGTTGAATGATAAATTATGTGGCTACTCTATCCTCAGACCTTTCCCAAATTCACTTTTATGGAAAAAAATGCAGAGAGCAATGCTAAGGGGAATGGGAGCTCTCAGTAGAGCAGAATGATTTAAGAATACACTAAAGGCTTAAATCAACTTCTTCCATGAGAAGCCCATAGTTCTGCGCTCTGTCACAAGATGCTAAGGCACGGAAGGACAGGTTGAATGTTTCATTTTGGTCACATTGAAAATGCACTCTCAGTCTCTGCTTGAGTTACATTGTCTCTACATTGAAATGAATACAGCTTTAGGAAAAATGTGAAGAAAGCCTAAATTATACTCACAGATCAGGTCCCTTTCAAAGACCAAAATAAATTTCACACACAACATCAAAGCCTATTAAACCAAACACGCTTATTTGAGATGGTCTGCCCAATTCACATCCAACTTAGATGGTTCAGCACCAAGTTTATTTCTCTAGAAAATGTTCAGCTTGTAAGTCTTAAAGAAAAAAAAAATCCTTCTTCCTTTTAAGCTGTTGAAGCATTGCTTTAAGCAATAAGGGACTAAATGTTTGATGAATGGAGCTGAATGACACCCTGGTGAAAAAGCCATGCCCCTCACCCCCATACACACTCACTCACACAGAGAAAACCTTTTACTTTTATGCCCTTCAAGTACTGGAATAATTGAACATCAATTTGGCAATAACAGCCGGACAGATTTAGAGCCAAATCCAACTCTTGCCCAGGGGGATTATATCTGACGTAAATGGTACAGTTTGGCTCAGTTTGAAAAAGAATAGACTTAAACTCAAAATGTGACCTAAATTTAAATGCTTCTGAATTTCAGGGAATCGCTTACCCATTTGTGTGCACAAACTTTTGAGATTCTACTCTATTCTCGACTTTTTTTGTCATATTTTTAAAATGATTACTCACTTAAAATAAGAGTCAAGGTTAGAAATGGGGAAAAATATCAAACATTTAGCCAAATAATCACTTTATGATACAGATCACAGTTTTTGATTAGACTATCCTCCACCTTACAAGCAGTGGAACTACATGAGAAATTGCATCAGTGGCATTGTGTTAACTTGGGCTATGTAGCAGTGAGATGTGAGAATGCATTTGATTCGGTACCTGAAAGCATTCGAATCATATAATCTGCAGGATCCTCTACTTCCACATCTTTTAAATCCCCATTTGAGGCATGACGTGTCAATCAAAACTCCAAAATATACTGGAGCTGGGATTCCTGCTGTGAGAGATAAACAAATAATTGCTATTGAAAACACATGCACATCTTTTTGGTTATGAATGATTATCCGAAACAGTGTAATCATTTCTGTTTTGGAGATGAAAGGCTGAAATGTCCAAAACCTCTCTCTCTAGCCCAGTCTTTTCTCATATGTGCCAGACTCAGGAAGTAACTGCCATTTGTTTGTTTACCTCGAGAAGTATGTCCCTGTGTGCTTCAACTCACCATGAGTTAACATCTTCCTCCCCAGACCTGTCCCTTTATCGGTGGCCACCCCATTCCTAAAGCTACAAACTTGGGCATCATCTTTGATCTCTCTCTCTCTTTTTCCTCTCTTTGGTCATCATGACATTTAATCTATCCCCAAATCATGCCAATTCTACCTCCCAGGTGTAGCTTAAAAACACTCTCTTCTCTCCATGCCCACTGTCACTACTTCTACCCTAATTTAAAGCAGCAGCTTATTCATGACTCTTTGGCTTCCTTCGTTAACCTCTCCAATCTGTTCGTCATACAGATGTTGAATCATTCAATTAACTAGATGATCTTTCAGACATCTGCTCCAAGACAAGAGTAGCTAATTAGATATTAGGCCCCATCTCCATTCTTGGCCTCATTTGGGGCAACATTCATTGTCTTACATTTCAGACTCCAAAATTACTGGATTCTTTCAGTGCCTAAAATGTTCTCCCTCTTGCCTAAATGACTTACATAGTTTTCTTTATCCCAAACACTTTTTTCCTTTCTTTTCTTAAAACACACTCACTTTTTGAATCTTAGTTTGAATGTTTTCCTTCAGGAAAGTCCACTCTGATGGCCTAAACTACATTGATTCCTTTTATTCTATATCTGGTAGCATTTGTACTTCCTTCAAAACTTTATACTCTTGTAATGGCTTGTTTAATTGCCTTTCCTGCTAGACTATAAGCTGTACAGGGGAAAGAAATGTGTTTTTCTTATTCATGCTATAAACTCTAGTAGATTCTCCATGTTGAGAATTTAATCCCTCTTTAGGGAGAAAAGGTATCTCTCATATATAAATTTTAACAAAAAAGTATTTTAAGTTGATTTCAGTCTGCTCAAATCTCAGTTTATATTTTTTATGTTTTAAATTGGTGATCTATTAACATCTGTTATTTAGTCTGCATAGGTTTGGCCTTTTGTTTTTTACTTAGTAGCCAATATTTTAAAGCCAGGAGATTTCATGTAAAACAACAGATGTCCAGATTCTTTTAAGAGCCACACTATCTGGAAATCCATGGTAATATTGGCTGGAGTTGAGAAGCAGCTGCCTCCATCCCCTGTTCCTATCTTCTACACACACTTGGAGTTCACTTTCCCAGTCCATACAGCTTTCTCTCTGCCTTCTTCACTCATTTCCATCAACTGCCTAGACTTTTTTTTTGCATTTGAGTTTTAACCATATATTTTTTTCTTCTGTTATAAAATTGCTTTGCATGCTTATATTGAATAAAGTACTCTCAATAAATTGTTTTTAAAGTTGTCTAAGAAATTCATGATGCACCTAAATTCCAGAGATTATCCATTTGTTCTTTGATAACAAATGGGAAATATTTCAAAAGATTTTCCATTCAAAGGTGTACTTAAATTTTGCAATTACCCATGTAATAATTGATTTAATCCAGAATCATTAATGGTTGCTTAAACTTTGGGTAAAAGATTTTTGGGAAATGGAATATTCACATAATATCAAAATGTCATATTACAGATTAATTATTAATTGCAAAAGGATTTTTATGATAGAAGAAACTGGTAGACACCACTTTCACCAAGACAGCAAACTTAAAATTTCCAATGATGTTATAAACCATGTGCTTCCCAATATGATTTACTAGTCAGTACACACATCATCTGTGTAGTATTCTCCCCAAAAATATTTTACCTGGACATACTCAAAAGTAAACAAACAGACAAATCCAAATGGTGAGATATTCTACAAAACAACTAGCTTTGCCTCTTGAAAAATATAAATGTCACTAAAGATCAAAGAAAAAAGCAACAACAATAAAACAACACAAACACAAAAGATGAGGAATTGTTGGACACAAAAAAAGGTAATTAAACTTATGATCCTGATAGGATCAAAATAAAAAATGTGATAGAAGACATTATTATTATAAAAGAAATTTGATGTGGGATGTACATTAGATAGAGTATCATGCTAATGCTAAATTTCTTGAGTGTGAGAATAGTACTATAGTTATATAGGACAATGTACTTGCTTTTTCAGGAGAATACACACTGAGGGCCTTAGGAGTGAAGTATCAGGAGGTCTGTCCACTATTCATTTTCAAAATATATGTTTGTTGAGAGAAATAGAGGTTGTTACATCATACAAGCATTTGCTGTAATTTTTTAAAACTATTCTGTGGTCTTGAAAATTTTCACAATAAATGGAAGAGAAAGGTGGGAGAGAAATGGAACCTACAGATCAAAAGGGATTGAAGAGATGACAGCACCCAGATGCAATGTGTGGACCTTGTTCGGTCCTTCATTGAAAGAAGCATTTGTATGGAACATCTGATAATTTAAAGAATTCGAACATTAACTGGATATTTGCTAATATTGAAGAGTTGTTTTTAAGATGTGATGATCATTAGGTTAAAATAAATCATTATGTTTTAAGATAACAAGTACATACTCAACCCAATATTTTATGGAAGAAATGAGACAGTCTGAAATTTACTTCAAAACAAGCCAGCGAGGGGAAGTGGGTAGTGATACAGCTGTCCTAAGATGGGCTGGGTGTTGATAATTGTTGAGATTGGGTAATAGATACATAAGAGTTCATCGTAATATTCTTACTACCTTAGTATGTGTTTGGATTTTTTTGATAACACAAAGTTAAAAAAAAGAAGCAGCTGATCCTAGCTTGCATAAAATCTCATGGATTAAAAGAGCAGCAAATATATCTAGCAACCAATCTGGATTATTTGGTGCCTCAATTAAGTTCTCTGTGTATATGGCCCAACCAAATAGATGATTTCCATTTAAAAAATCCAAGTGAAGGCCGGGCGCGGTGGCTCACGCCTGTAATCCTAGCACTCTGGGAGGCCGAGGCGGGCAGATTGCTCGAGGTCAGGAGTGCGAAACCAGGCTGAGCAAGAGCGAGACCCCATCTCTACTATAAAGAGAAAGAAATTAATTGGCCAACTAATATATATAGAAAAAATCAGCCAGGCATGGTGGCACATGCCTGTAGGCCCAGCTACTCGGGAGGCTGAGGCAGAAGGATTGCTTGAGCCCAGGAGTTTGAGGTTGCTGTGAGCTAGGCTGACACCATGGTACTCACTCTAGCCTGGGCAACAAAGCGAGACTCTGTCTCAAAAAAAAAAAAAAAAAAAAATCCAAGTAATAACTAACTTTACACTGGCCTTAATGGTGTCAAGACAAGCCCCAAAATCCAAATGTATACATTTTTCTGTCAGTGATCTAACATTTTTATAACAAAAAATTTTCAAACATTCACAAAAGCAGAGAAAATGATATAATGAACCCTCATATACCATCACTAGATTTAATAATTTTTAATGTTTTGCTATTCCCGTTTCCTCTCTCCCCCAACTCTGGATTCTTTTTTTAGTATTATAAAGGCAATCTCAAATGTCATCAATTCTATGTACTTCAGCATGCACTTCTAATGACATTTGAAAAAACATATGCTATTCTCACACCTAACATATTTTGCAATAATTTCTTAATCTTATCTAAAATCTAGTACACATTCAAGCTTTTCAGGTTGTCTCATTACAGTCGGTTTGTTCTTATCAGGATCCAAACCAAATAAACACATTGCATTTGGTTGATGACTCTTTATATCAGTATCTTCCTCTCACTTTTTTTTTCATACTAATGATTTTTGAAAAAAAAGACATCTGTCCTCGAGAATATGCCACAGTCTGGGTTTGTTTGTTTGCTTCTTTATATTATTTAATTTGTTCCCCTATTCATTTTCCCTATAACCTGGTAGCTAGATCTTGTTAGACTCAGGTTCAATTTATTTTAGACAGGAGTAAGGAAGGGCAGTTCTGTGTACTTCTGATTGTGTCCCTGTTAGGGGGTACATGTTGTCTGGTGGCCCTCTTAGTAATGCTAAGCTGGGTCTGAAGTTCATGCTATGCCAGTCTCATCCCTCCATCACTATGAAGTTCCTGATAAAATTTTACCCAAAGCTTTCAGCAAATATTGATGAGGCTGCAAGACAGGAATTAAAAAAAATTCTGTACCTCCTATACTAATTATTTGGGATTTTTCTATAAAAGAGGATTTTCCTTATGATTGATAGTTTTTCCTTTATTTATCAATTTTCAGAATAATGAGTTGGTGTCCTGGTATTATTCAAAGTTTTAAAGTATGATTACAAACTCATATGTTTTTATATATTTGATATATTTCAATAAATTGTAGCCATCATTATTATTCTTGGTACTGCTATTTTGATTCTGAAATTAGCTCATCTTGAGGTTAATCTTTTCAAATTGATTTTGTGCCCTTTGATTTATTCTTATTAGCTTTTGATAGCTTATTCACTTTCCAGTACAAAAAGATGTCCCATAGTCATTATCCAATCTCTATTCTAGCCCTTTAATCAGTTGTTTCTCCAAGGTGCCATGATTCTTTTACTGGGAGATGATATTTAGATACCACAGACTGAGTGCTATGGGGCTCATTTCTGCTGGGTTTCATAGTTTCTGGATTTCTCAGGAGAGTGAGCTATAAAATATACATTATTTTAAAATAAAATTATGTTAGTTTATATTGATATTTTAAAGTCAAATGGGGTTTCCTTAAATTCTTTTATTTTATAGTTGTATCATTTTCCTATAAAGATATATGTAAACAAAATTTAATTTCAAATTTTTAAAGCTCTGAGTTTTTTTTCCTTCCTGGATGGTTCATTTTTGTCAAATTACAGAGGATCATTTCCAATTATTTCATTTTCTTCTTTAGAAGAAATAATTGGAAATGATCCTCTGTAATTTGACAAAAATGAACCATCCAGGAAGGAAAAAAAACTCAGAGCAAAACCTTGTCTGTCTCATTCATTGTTTTCTACAGGTTTTAACCAATACATATTTTAAAAATGTGGTGGCTAGAAAAAAATTCCAATTACATTTTTAAAAATCCCTACTCAAAGGGGGAGGGCATAACTGTAACCCTTCTTAGGGAGAAGCAAAGATATACAATGTAACCAAAATGTTAAACAAAACAAAAAAAACCTTTCTAGCAGGTGGTGGGCAGGCAGGAGTGGGGAGGAGGAAAGGGGTGTATGTTTCCATAACGTGTACGATGCACATCACCAGGGGATTGGACATTTCAGGGGGAGGGAAGGGGCAGGAGCAATATTTGTGACCCTAACAATATTTGTACCTCCATAGTATGATGAAATAAAAATCATGTTCTAATATATAAAAAAAAATCCCTACTCAAATCCATTGACTTGAAATTGTTGAATGATCTTATCATTCTGCCTAATGATATATCCTAGGAACGAACACTGAGAATAGCTCAACAGAATTCTTCTCATTTTAATAACTGAAAAAGTATACATTTAGGCTTCACCCTTTCTTATTGACTAATTTTTGGTTTCCTCTGAGAACTCTCCTCTAAGAGCAATAGATTTTGTGAGAACATACAGGTCATAGAAGAGACAAAATTGTTTAAAAAAATTATGATTATTCTCATAAAATCTCTATGATATCTGGGACACAGCACAGGTACTCAGTAAATATTTCTGGGACAAAGGAAGGGAAGAGTCAAGGAAAGGAGGGAGGGAACAAGGAAATGAAGAAAATAAAAAGATTATAGACTTAACTACTTACGTCATTTAGTTATAGACTTAACTACTTACATCATTTAGTTTATGGTAATTTTGTAAAAATATTTAGAAACATCTTCAAAATACACTTATGATGGCTACCATAAATTAAAGCATAGATTATACTTACCAAGAACTCTTATGGCTAAGGTGTAGATACCCAGGGCAAAAGACTTAAGTTGTGGCTTAATGCACCTAAAATGAACAAATGAACCATTACAAAGATATATAATTAAGTAAAGCAAATAGAAATTTGAATGATAATCTGCTTAACACACATAAATTATGTTAGACTTCAAGTATCATTTATGGTAAACCCACTAGTGTACAGGGAAGGCAAAATGTGTAAAAGCTATGTTCTATTGCATGTAGTGCTTCAAGGAGTTGATAGTTAATATTTCTAGAAGGTAAATCACTTGTACTTGACATATTCAAATGGTGATGGATAAAGTCAAATCACAAGTTTAATCACCAAAATAGTAAAGACAGAAAAAATCCCCACAAATTCCAAGAAATTGTAAGAATTTGAAGCAACAATAAAGGATTAATAACCTATAACTAGTTTTTGTGGCTTTGGTCTAAAAGCACAGGACCCAATTGATCAGGGTTGATATAATCACAGCATGCTAAATAAAAATTACTGCTAAATAGTGGGGACCTGAATTTCTCAGAAAAGTGCAAAAACACCTAAAATAACAAGAGCATCATGAATATGATTGTATAGCTTTAACTGATTAACCTGCAGATTTTAATAGCAATAATCATGATGATACATAATAACTATTGAGTGTTAGCCATAGTATTAAGTACTTCCTATGTATTATATCATTTAGTCTTTGCTTTAAAAGAGGCAGAAATCACAAAGTTTCTCCTTCAACCCAAGGAAGTCCTTCTGATATCACAATTGACCATGGTTAATTTGAGGGGCTGGTAGTAAGGAAAATGCTTTTACATTTGGCCCAGGTAACTACTTGGCACAGCAGCATAAGGTATTGAATAGTCATATTTCTCTGGAAACTTCAGGACAATGCTTTCATATTTTCTCAAAACCCTGCTCCTATTTGTGACCATAAATATCTCATGTTCTCCCTAAACCGTTTTGAGAATAGCAGATTTGTGTCTAAAATTCTATTTTTATCCTTCCTAATCAATTTCCACAATAAAAACTGTGGAAAATTAAAAATATATACAATACTTTTGATTAGTCCCATTCTAGAAAAAACTAATATTCATCTCTGAATATATGAATTAACTTGAAAAACCACTCAATCCATCTCATAAAACATTCATTTCTAGTAAATTTTGACTTTTTTGTGTTTAATAATTTCATCAAAAATTATATTCTTTTAGGGTTTTTTAATCATTTGTACAATACACATATTGATATTGCAAAGTTAATTCAATTAGGAAGAAAATATATCATGAGACTCCTGGTTATAAAACTATTTCAAAATTTGAATTCCCATGTAACTTTTATAGAGATGTATGATAGGATAATCAATGAAAAATGTTCAAGCACAAATTATATTACAATAGGAGAAAAGTCAATAGGGAATTTGAATGAAGATATAAGCATAAGAAGAAACAAGAAATAGGTAATGTTTGTAACTGTTAAAGATCTTTTTATATAATTTTTAATTAGGTGATGCTGGGAATCTAATCACTATATTTTAGATCCCATTAATTACATTTGAACGAGTGACTTATACTTAAAATTGTTATATTTATAAATGAAAATATTTATAATATACTGGAAATCAATGCTTAGTCACTAAACTTATGATAAAAATTTTTACACATCAATTTGTAAATATGCAAGGGGGTACAAAATTTTTAAAATTCAGGGTTTTATAAGAAAAGATGTTTGAACTCATTGACATGATATTTATGGATTAGGATCCTCAATTGATTCAAAAGCCATGAAATCCCCCACAATTAATTCCAGTCATGGCAAGAATATACAGAAAAAGTAATAATTTGTACATTAAAATAATAAATGCAAAATATTGTAGTATTAAATGAGCCATTAAAGTGTCTTATAAATGGTATCTCCCATAATTTGGTGAAGCTATTATATATTTAGTTTAAAACATCTTATCTATAGTTAAGTTATCTATGTTAATCTTATCTATAGTTAATCTAGTTAACATTATCACTAGCATTAGAAGTAGCATTATCACTAGCATTAGAAGTAGCATACTATATATTATGTGACTATAGTGATGTAGATACTAACATTGCTCTCTAGATTAGTGGTTTGCAAACATTTTTAACTAAGAAAATTTTTGTTCAGCCACATTTTTGTAAAAAAATTTAATTACAATACAGATAAAAGTAGAACAGGGTGTGGGACAAGTTCCCCGAAACAGCTTTGAAGAATCACTATGATTGCACAGAAAATAGTTTGAAATCACTGTTCTAGATGACTATGACTTATATTAAAATCAGGATGGGGAGAATCAGTATTTACCTCAGAAGTAATATGTATCCAGGTATGCCACCTAGGGATAACGTATAGGATGTGATGACTGAAATTATAAGGAAATAGAGAAACATTTGGGGGCATTCATTATCTTTTTGACATCTGCCCACTATGCCTGAGGAATTTCCTGATTTAGAAGCTGCAATTCCCACACAGGTGCAGTTATAAAATATCTGTAACACAATAGAGAAAAGTCTTATTATTGTGGTAACATTTAAATAAAATTAAAGATAAATATCTATTTACAAATTTTTACAGTACAATAGGCACACATTATATAAGCAATGGGGAAATATTCTTTTTTTTTTGTATTATAGTATATTGAGCAAAGCAGAATCTATAGAGATATAACATTTCATCATCCAAACAGCAGATGATTGATCTATAAACTACTAATCCTACAGAACAATCTCCCAGCAAATCCTATCAAATCCAACCATAATTTTCCTCCTTCACTACCACTTCCAAGACTAAGTCACCATTATTTCCTGTCTTGATTATTACAATGGTCTCTTCATGCTCAACTTGTTTCCACTCTTATCCAGCTATTGTCTATTTTCCCCAAAGTAACCAATATGAACCCTTAAAAATGGCTGTCAGATTGCATTACTACCCTCAACCTTCCAATGGCTTCTCATTATACTTGTATGAAATCCCAAATCCTTATAGTGGGTTACACATTCTCTGTCATGTAGCTCCTGGATCCCACTCTGATCTGCTGCCCAATGGTCTTCCCTCTCTCCCTCTGCATCAGCCACATACACAGCCCTTGCAAATTTGCCTTTCCATTTTGCCCTTGCCAAACCTCCCCTCAAACCTGGCAAGTTTACCCATGCCTCATGGCCCTGGTGTTTTCTCTGCTTGGCAGCTCTTCTAAATAACTACATGCCTGGCATCCTCACTTCAGGTCTCTGTTCAGAAATTTCATTACAAAGAACTTCAATGACTACCCATTCAAAAAAACAAAAATGCCCGCATCTTTCCATCCTCTTTTCTTAACTTATTATTTTTTTTCACAGTGCTTGTTACAACTTACCATATATGTATTTATGTTTAAAATATATTTCTCCAGTAGTATATAACCTCCATGAAGGTAGAAACTATATGCTTTGTCATCATTTTAAGCATCCAATAAAATTTTGTTAAATCAATGGGCATTTGACAATATTTTATAGTGGCTACCAGGTAAAAAATAATCTTGATGCATAGAACTCAGCTAAATTTTGTGAGAGAGGCAACTTTTATCACCCCTTAATAGTTTATTTCTGTAAAGTTCATTTATGAATGTGTAAATAAAATGAGTTGTCATTTTCATCACAGAAGAGTTTGTGATTTTTTTTAGATAAAGAACAAAAGTTAGCTGACATTTCTTCTTCCAGAAAGAATAGCAATGTAGATTTTTTAAAACGTCAGGTCGAAGGCTATTGAGTCTTGACTCTTGACAATTTTGATATAAACAAGTTAGGCAAGTCTTATAGCTCAGTGCCTCAGTTCTCACATGAGGAAAATAAATAAAATACTATATAATTATTTGAGGGCCATGAGATTTAAATGTAATTTTGTTTTTAGAGCACGTATTTTTAACCCCTGGCATGTAACGTCTTCAAAAATGGTAGTTACAGTTAAGAAAAACCTTCATGCAGTTGTAAGAGAAAAGAAAAGAAAAAAAAAATGAGAAAAAAGAACCGAAAGGAAAGGAAGGAAAGGAAGAAAAGAGAAGAAGGATGGTGAATCTCAGATTTCAGATTGTCGGTAGTCTTATTTGCTGGTCCAAGAGATCCATCCTTTCTGCTCTGAATAAAATGTCAAAATAATAGCATCATAAACAGAAAATCAACAAATATTACTCTATATCTGCAGATGTTTTTGCCTAAGCATTCATATCTAGTTGATAAGCATATGTAAATATGTGTGGTCTAATTTTTAGCCCTCTAAGACTATCAAATAAAGGCAAATTTTATCAGTTACAAATAGTCTCACAGGGTGAGTATAAAGAAGAGTCTATGTTTGGGACAGGAATGTAAATGTATGCTTCGAAGGGTGAGTCTGTTAATGATTAAAGTATATTATATTTTCACAGGTTTCGGTTATGGCCTGAATGTCCCAAATTCATATGGTGAAATTCTAATCCCTAATGGGATGGTATCTGGAGGTAATTAGGTTATGAGGGTGTAGCCCTTATGAATGAGATTAGTGTCCTTATAAGAAGAGACAGGAAAGCTTGCCCTTCCTCTTGGCCTCTGGCCATGTGAGGATAGGAGAAGATGGCCCTCTCCAGCCACCAGATCTGCTAGCATCCTGGTGTTAGGCTTACCAGCCTCCAGAAAGGTGAGAAATAAATGTTTGTTGTTTAAGCTACCCAGTCTATGTTATATTTGTTATAGCAGCCTGGACTGAGTAAGACAGCTTCTACTTAAACTTCCAACCTCATCTCCCTCTTCTACCGTACAGAAACTCTCCATTCCTGCTCACCTGGTCTTTTCATTATCACACAAATTGGCTTGATTTCCCTAGCAGAGTTATTCCAGAACCATTATAGTTCTGGGACATCCTCATAATCGGATCCCTGATTGCTCGATCTAGACCTCTGGAGCTAAACCTCCTAATATGAGCCTCCATTTGTCCTGCCCCTAAAATCTCCAAGGACTACTGGTCTTGAGGTCAGGAGACAGGCTCTCAAAGCAGATCTTATTATATGATCTTATGCCTGGAACTTTCTCATTGAGGGCTAATTACTCTTTATAAGCAAAACTAGAGAACCAGGCTACCTCATTACAAAAGCTCCTCCACCCTGTTTCATGACTTTAATTCTTACCCTAATTCTTGCAACAACTCTAGTTCCATTAGGAATGGTTATAAATTTCCTATGTCCACACAAAAGGACAAGGCAAAGGTAAGAGCCAGGGCTCCTACCAGTGGGAGTCTGCTGCTGAGACCCCACAGTGCTGTGTTGTCATACATTGTCACAGGCCCACGGGCATATACTTTAGAGGAGGAGATTTCTTACAATATTTTTTCCACTTCTGTTGGAGGCTTGACAACCAGCAAGACAAGCTGATGCATATGTGATTCCATTTTCACCACACATGGGCTCCCATTTTGTCTCTGAACATTTGCATCTTGAGTTGCAATCTGAAAAGAGAGCTCGTTCATGATAAGAGACAGGTTTGGTTCTGAAAAGAAATACAATAGTATAAAATATTACCTCTGAGCAGGTAGCAACCTAATATTTTCAAAAGTCAATGTTCTTGAGTGACATAAATGATACTGCCAACAAAATCTGCCTTTTGGAAGCACAATTGTCATCACAAATCTCAGCTTGTGATCATAAAATGTGAGTCCACTATGAAACAGCTTTCTCTTGAAAGTTATCTTTGGAGGTTTAAAAATTGACACAATATCCAGTTCTTAGCTCATGGATTTTACTAAAATCTACTGCCTCTAGGATCTTCTAAGATATTTCCATGCAAAGATGTATAAAAATGGCTAACAAGGTAGAAAAGTAAACTTTTAGAGTAATTTATGACATTACTTGAATGCATCACAGGTGGGGTGTTTGTATGTATGTGTGTGTGTGTGAATTTCTTTCAGAATTGTCTGAGCATCAGTAGAATGAATATTGCTAATGGTCTGGTCAAAGACAAAATAGCCAAGCAGTTAACATTTAATACACATTCAATGTGTGTAGGACCTACATACCCCTCTTGTGTATGTCTGACCAATAAATGCATTCCCAGTTCCACTAACCTTCCTCCCATCTGTCCCCATTGTATGGTGCTCTTCCACATCTTATATCATCATTTCTCACTTAATTCCACATGCTATTGCAATGACTTACCCATTCATTTATTCATAAAATTTTATTGGAAACCTACTAAGTGCTATATTTTGGAGGATAGGAGATAGTTACAAACATGCATGAGACAATATTTGCCCTCAGGAGTTGGCCTTTGTTTTTAGTTATTTTACATAATTTTGGTTGTTTTATGTCTTTTCTCTCCCTTTCTTTTCTTCCCTGCCATTCTCTTTTATATTCTCCCAGTCATCTCTCCCAGAATTTACTCTTCTTCTCTTTTTTCTCTCACTTGGATCGCCTAATCCTTCTGCTCTTGTCCTTTTGCACTATACTTATTCCTCTACTCTTCTCAAAGGGAACTTACACAATGGTATGTTGTTTCTATCTGCACCATATATGCTATGCATTGGCCCTTTGTAATCCATTTTTTCTACTCCCATTTTGAATTTATTTATTTATTTGTTTGTTCCTCCCGCCCTTCCCCTATTTTTTCTTTTTTTTACAAAGGTATTGGAGGACCTTAAGCAACCAAAAAGTACACTAGACTATACACTCAGTGAGGGCAGAAACTATTTGTTTTATTCACTCCCATATATCCAGCACCAAGAACAATTCCTGGCACATAACAGGCTAAGAAACAATATGTCTGGTAAATCAATCAATGAAAGAAAAATAGTATTTTATTTTGGAGAAAGAAATCAGCCATTTTGGCCCCTGCTTCTGAGAAGCATTTTCTATGACTGCAACCATAATTTCTTAATTGATGTAATATTGCATCTAGTAGAACTGCTATTTATAGGCTTGGTCACCTTGAAAGTAAAAACAGAAGACCTCTGAGATGTCTCCAAACAGTAGGAGAGGGTATCTAACTAGGCCTGCTGAGAAGTCCTACAGGAATGTTTAATCCAATTCTCTTCCATAAAATACTATTTGTTTATTGAGACTATTTGGTAGTATCTGAAAGCATAAAATTGTGCCTTTGACAGTCTAGAATCAGGCCACTGAGGATACTGTAAAGCTGAGATCATAGAAGGTTGGAACTGGAAGGACCGTTAGCATGATCTAGGATTTTGGCAGACTAGGAAAGTCAGGTCCAACGTGGGCAGATAACATCCTCGAATCCACACTGTTTGTTAGCGAAAAACCTGGAAGTAGAAACCTTCCAGGCCTCTTGTTTCTAAATTCTTATCTCGCAACAGTCATTATTGCAGAAGAAAGATTTCTTCCATTACCATATCTAAAGCTTGTCTACAGTGTACCTGTTGAATGTCCAGATATAAAACAGCCTTTCAGAACAAAGCAATATAGGATAATACATGATGAACATTTTATATTTCATAAAGCCAATTATTTTACATTACCGAAAGTAAGTTTAATTTATCTTCTAGTGCAAAAATTAATTTCATACATATTTTCTGAAGGATTTGTTGACAGCAGAGTTGTGATTTTAAATTTTAATTATAATAAGACTTTTAACAAATATGCCAGAATGTTGATACTCAAATGAGATTTTCTTTCAAAATAATTAGACTGAGAGATGAGGGATTTTCCCAGTGATATTACCATTTCTTTTGCCTGCTACCAATGGTAAACCTATTCTTAAAGGCTAAATTTTTTTCATTACTAAGGATATCCTAAAAAAACATGGAGACCAATTTTAAAAGAGAAATTTTAGAATAATTTAGACAATGCATTGCTAAATGCATTGATAGTTTTTCAAGGTGACTGCTTTGAAGAGACTAGTACTCAATGAATATATTATCTTTTATTTGTTTAAAAATATTTAATCTTTGATTATATAGGTATACTTTTCATGTGAACCTCAAAATTTGCTGTTGTTTGTTTATGCATTTGCTTTTGGCTTAGAAACAGTATAATGTAGAAATAACATTATACTTTAAGCCGTGCCTGTGTTCAATTCCTAGATCTGCCTTTTATAGACATTTAAATTTGGGGAAGCTAACTGATTTTTCTAAACACAGTTTCCTTTACACAAAGGTAACAAAACGTGGGTCATAAAGGTATTTTGAGGATACAAGAGAGATAATGAAAGTTAAGGTGTTTTGTAAATTGTAAAATATAAAGTACTCTACCACTGTCCCCTACCATGATGATCATTGGGACAGTTGAAGATGACACAGGGCTTCTGCCCCGTCCAGAATCTCCTTGCAATTTGTATTTACAACTAACATTCTTTTTTTTTTTTTTTTTTTTTTTTTTTTTGCCGAATCCACACCATGACTTCTGGTGGGGTTAGCTGATGTTGCCCAGGCTAGAGTGAGTGCCGTGGCGTCAGCCTAGCTCACAGCAACCTCAAACTCCTGGGCTCGAGCGATCCTTCTGTCTCAGCCTCCCGAGTAGCTGGGACTACAGGCATGTGCCACCATGCCCGGCTAATTTTTTATATATATATCAGTTGGCCATTTAGTTTCTTTCTATTTATAGTAGAGACGGGGTCTCGCTCTTGCTCAGGCTGGTTTCGAACTCCTGACCTCGAGCAATCCGCCCGCCTCGGCCTCCCAGAGAGCTAGGATTACAGGCGTGAGCCACTGCGCCCGGCCTACAACTAACATTCTTAATCTACATCAGTGACTGTCCCCAAGGCAACACTACACTCAGCTTAGTCTAACAACATGGCTGTGACAACTCCCCTGAAGCCATAATTTATGAACTTTGCATTCCCCGATTTTCCTGAACATTCTCATTGACAATAATTATAACTGGTGTTCATTTAGCAGCAGGAGAAACCAGGTCATTGAAGGTAATGGAGGTTAGACACAGAGACAAGATAGACAGAGAAGCATGGAAGGAAGGGCAGGGAGGGAGATGAACATCAGGCAGTAAGCAAGAATCCACTGAACAGCAGGAAATAGAATATACAGTGTCGGGAGTGTTTGCTTTGAGCCCCAGGCAGGGTTTCAAGCAGTCAGGTAGATATAATCAGAGAAGTCTGCCTGGAACAAGGTAGTCATATTTAAATAGGCTCAAAACTAGTGTAAGTTAAATATAACTGATTTTAAATTTTAATTATAATAAGACTTTTAACAAATATGTCAGAATGTTGATACTCAAGTGAGATTTTCTTTCAAAATAGTTAGGCTGAGAGATGAGGGATTTTCCCAGTGATATTACCAGTGATTATCCCAGTGATATAACTAAGTAAAGTTATATTTAACTCACACTAGTTTTGAGCCTGGGGCCTCGTAAAGCATATGTAACTCACACGTCTTTTCACCTTGGGAACAACATGAACTATTTGAAGTTGCATATAATTCATGCACAGAAAATTATGCTTCATAATTATTTTAAAACAAATAATGCATAGATAGGTGAAAGGATGAAAAAAAGTCATGCTGGGAACTCACATTTGGAGGTAAAGCCATGGGAAGGATTCTTGAAGGGAGAGGGCAAAATAGTTCCTACAAGATCTGGCCTTGTATTAAGAGATATAGACTCTGGAAACAAGGCAATCTAATCACCCCCATACAGGATGGCATAGACCTGAAGGCATCAGTGGACATTCTGACCACCTGCTAAAGAGAGCTGTTTGCTGTAGGGCTCACTGGGTTGAAGGATGCTATTCTCTCCTGAAACTGCATGTGATTCGAGCACAGTGGAAACCATGGAGGATTGCATTAGAGACCACTCCAGTCACCCAGCTGTCCAAAGGGGGAAAAAAAGACAATTATTTCTAAGAATGGATCATTAATTTTGTGTCAGGCAAGTATTAATCACTTTTATGAGCATTATCTTGCTTACCACATGAACTACCATGTGAGTTGTATTTAACTGAGGGCTTTTGAGCCTAGGGCTTCATGAAGCATATGTAACTCACACGTCTCTTGACCTTGGGAACAGCATAAACTATATGAAGTTGCATAAAATTCATGCACAGAAAGCAATAAAAAATAACAAATTTTTAATTAAATTAGAAAGAATTGTTTTGTTTTCAAAGTTTTTATTTTATTTTTGTAATAAAGCACCATGGCCCGAAGGAAAAAAAAATTTTTTCTAGTGTGGCAATGTGATACATCTTATAAGACCTTAAGAGGCAGTTATTACTTCTATTTTAACCATAGGAAAATTGGAGCTGGATTGGTTTTAATAACATATAATGTCACTTCACCAAGAATAGGCAGAGGCAAGATTTAAACTCTGTATTTCCACTATGAGGTTGTTTCTGCAAACTAATCAGGTTGATTTTGTAATGCAAAATGTGGAGTTAGCAATATTTATATTTCTCAAAGACATTCAAATTCAAACAAGATAAATTTTGGTGACAATAACAGACTCTAAGTCATAAGCTTTATCAGCTATTCTACAATAGAACAATAATTCTCCTCCCATTGTTATGATGTTTAAAAATAAAATTATCTCATTATCTCATTCATTTTGAAGCTCTACCAATAATTAATTTGATTAAATAAGCCAATCATCTCAAATCATTTAATGAGGGAACATACCCTTGGTAGGAGACAGTTAGTCCTGCCACGTCAGAATTTTCACAGCCCAGTGCAAACAGGGAAAGGAACAGGAGGTAACCAAAGACAGATGATCCCAAGTAGAGTTTTGCAGCACCACACACACTGATTCTGAATTTTTTCATGACTATCCCACCAGAGAATATTCCAAGGGCCACTGCAGGTATGTTGATGAGCCCTAAGGAACAAGAAAAATGGTCATAACAGTTTTATTATTTATAATAGTCAAAAGCAGAAAAGAATATCAATATTCATTAATAATAAATAAATTGTGCTATATTCACATAATAGGATATTATAGAGCAATGAAAAAGAACAGACTACTATTATATACAAGAACATGAATGAATCTCATAGATTTCACTTCAATTGAAAAAAAACTAGACACAAAAAAGTATATAACATATTATTCAATTTATATGAAGTTCAAAAATAGGCAAGACTGGTCTGTGATGATAGAGTTTGGAAAAGTTATTAGCTTTGGGGAAAAGTATTGACTGGAAAGAGATTTGAGGGAGGCTGTCAGAGTACTAAAGTGTGCTATTTGTTCTGGATGGGGGTTACTACACAACTATATATGTAAAAATTTATTCAGCTTAACTATACATTTAAGATCTGCAAGCTTAACTGCTGATTGTAAATATCTCAATAAACATAAAAAATTTAAAATAAAATAAAAATAATGTCTCTCATAAATGTTCATTCCTCGTCTAGTCTTGAAGTCAATATAAAGTTTTGATTGGCATGAATGGGGTGTTGGGGAAAAAAAACCTAAAACATTTTTTCAGATCAACTGATGAATAATAAAATTAATGAACCAATTAATATTGAAAGTAAAAACTTATTTCAATATTGAAATATTACTGCTTTTACTTTCAATATTTTACTTTCACTAACCTGCTAAGGTTAGTGATCTAACCTTAACATCAAGAATTATATTAGCATCTGCTACATGCTCATTACTCAGGATTATTATAGAAAAATTATATCTCCTAAAATATACTTGGCTGGGTTTCCCCAGCCCCCATCTCTTTCAGAGATAGATACATAAAACAATTTTACAATATTTTATGAAGAGAAATTATTTTAAACCATTGGTTTCTCCTATCATAAAGGAATATGTCCAAAGAAATAGAATGTATTTTGTGCCTTGAAACAGTAACATTAAATGACATTTTCTTGGACTAAAGAAACTTAGTTTCAGGTTTTAAAAATATTCAGTTACTTCAAGGGTGGTGTTTATGTATTTGTAGATTCTGGTTCCTCTCCATTCATTTCTTCATGATTTCCTAGGCCCTTGAATATCTTTCTCATCACTGACAGTACTGCTGTGCTAGAAATACAACCTTTTTAAATAACCCACAAACCTATCTAATGGGTAGAATGAATATTAATTAGGTGATAGGAACACTTATAGCCTTGACTCAAGCATTACAAAAGCAATCCATGTAGCCAAAATAATTTTGTACCCCCTTAATACTTAGAAATAAAAAAACCTGTAAAATAATAATCATAAATAAAATCACAGAAAAAAATGCATCTAAGATGGTATCAATGAGAAAACATGAAGGGCACATAAACATACCAATAACAAAGTTGGCCTTGGAAGATGACTGCCCATACTGTTGCTCAATGTACTTTGGTTTATATGTCACCATGCCAAATAAAGAATTGAACTGAACAGTGCTTGTACACAAATACAGGAAGTACACTGGATTTCCAAAAAGATTCTTCAGTGATGGAAGAAAATCTATAAGACAAAAATAACACGGAATAATTAATGACAGTGTCACACTTGGCCGCAGGTGCAGCCATGGTGGCAGGACTTAGATGGCTAAGTCCCATTGTCATAGTGTTTGGGAGTAGTCATAGTGTGCCACACACATACTGTGCATCCTAAGCCACTGTCACACCTCAAGGCTGTCATCTGGCCAGGTTCGGGTCCAGACATAAGCACTTGCTTCTACAGGAATGCAGTATAGATTCCATTAGAGGTAAAAAGTCCAACAGGAACAGATTCCTTACAAGGCAAGAGTGATGAGAATACCCTCTCACCTCCAGCTGGGAGCCATAGGCAGGACATCAAGAACTTCACTTTTCTGGTCTCTGTTCTTCTAACTTGTGTGTGGTCACAGGGAAAGGAATATAAAATTTATCTCCATTTGAAGTATGAATGTTGGTTTTGGAAATGAACTTTGGTATTCTCCTTTCTTCCTATTATGTAGCCAATCAATTAGACATGTGAAGAATTTGGATAAATGTAAATATTGTCTGAGAAGAAGTGGGGAGGAGATCAATCTTGTGTCTACCCCTCCATGGAGGGGATGTATTGGAACTCTCTACTCTTTTGTCCACACCCCACTCACTCAAATCACTGGTGGGAGACTTGCAATACTCAAATGGGTGGATCTCACCTGTTCAAAGGCCACCAACCCTGCAGGTTCACTACTTTCTATTTTGTCCACCCAGCCTTACACAAACAGCAATCCTTGTTAGAGGATATTGCAGGGTCTAAATCAAAGGGATGTGAGAGGGTGGAGATGTCATGGGCTGCAGACAGTTTTCCAGTAATAAAGGTAACTTATTGATCTCCATTTTTGCTTCCTGTATGGTTTCTCAATTTTTTAATTTTTGGAACACACAATGAGACGTAAGGGGTATTATTTATAGCACCCCTAAAGTCTCAACAGGAAAACTGAAAGTGCTTCAAAATCATGGATAATTTGACTTACCTTTTGCCATTTCCATTATTTTTGCTTTTTCTCCGTGGGGTGTTTGGTAGTCTGTGTGATCATCGATAATAAACTTGGATTTCTCAGTGGAGGAATTAGAATCCTCTCCACTTTGGGGTCTTGGTAGACTCTTTGGTAAACACCAGAAAGGCACAGCTGCAAGAAGACTTATGATTCCTGCTATTAGATAACCAAGCCACCAGGCTCCTACCCATTGGGGATCCTTTGGGGTAATGGTTATGTGATCTGAAAGACAGAGATGATGGCCAAGTAACACACATAGCAAACTAACGTGTTGAAATAAGCTACTTTAAAAGAACTACATCCTTGCATAAGCTCTATCACATCCTAAAAGTGCCTAATAATTCACACATGATATTTTTTAAAAATCTGGACATTATTACAGGCCTACCTTGGAGATATTGCAGGTTTGACTTCAGATCACTGCAATAAAGTGAATATTGTAATAAAGCGAGTCACATGAATTTTTTGGTTTCAGGGTGCATATAAAGTTTATGTTTCTACTACTCTGTAGTCTATTAAGTGTGCAATGGCATTATGTCTGAAGAAGTACATATCCTACTTAAAAAATACGTTATTGCTAAAAAAAATACTAACAATCATCGGAGCCTTTAGCAAGTCATGATCTTTTAGCTGGTGGAGAGGCAAGCCTCATTGTTGACAGCCGCTGACTGATCAGGGTGGTGATTCCTGAAGGCTGAGGTTGCTGTGGCAACTTCGTAAACTAAGACAACAATGAAATTTGCTGCATCAATTGACTCTTCCTTTCATGAAAGATTTCTCTGTAGCATGTGATGCTGTTTGATAGCATTTACCCACAGTAGAACTTCTTTTAAAATTGGAGTCAGTTCTCTCAAACTCTGCTCTGGCTTTATCAACTAAGTTTATATAACATTCTACATCTTTTGTCATTTCAACAATGTTCATAGCATCTTCACCAGCAGTAGGCTTCCATGTCAAAAAACCACTTTCTTTGCTCATTCATAAGAAGCATCTCTTCTTTCATTAAAATTTAAAATTGCTGAGATTGTAGCAATTGTCACCTCTTCAGGATCTTCTTCTAATTCCAGTTCTCTTGCTAGCTCTCTTGCAGTTACTTCCTCCACTAAAGGCTTGAACCCCTCAAAGTCATCCATGAGGACTGGAATTAACTTCCAAACTCCTGTTAATGTTGATATTTGACCTTCTCCCATGAATTATGAATGTTCTTAATGGCATCTAGAATGGTGAACTCTTTTCAGAACGTTTTCAATTTACTTTGCCCAGACCCATCAGAGGAATCTATGGGTTATAGATTCCTATCTATGGCAGTTATAGATTCCTGAAATTCATTTCTTAGATAATAAGACTTGAAAATTGAAATTATTTCTTGATCCATGGGGTGCAGAATGGATGTTGTATTAGCAGGTATGGAAACATTTATCTCCTTATACATCTCCATCAGAGCTCTTGTATGACCAGGAGCATTGTCAATGAGCAGTAATATTCTGAATGGAATCTCTTTTCCTGAGCAGTAGTTCTCAACAGTGGGCTTAAAACATTTAGTAAACTATGGTATAAATAGATGTGTTATCATCTAGACTTTGCTTTTCCATTTATAGAACACAGGCAGGGTAGACTTAGCATATTTCTGAAGGCCCCTACGATTTGCAGAATGATAAATGAACATTGGCATCAACTTAAAGTCACTGGTTGCACTAGCCCTTAACAAGAGAGTTGGCCTGTTCTTTGAAGCTTTGAAACCAGGCATTGACTTCTCCTTTCTCACTAAGAAAGTCCCAGATTACATCTTCTTCCAATAGAAGGCTATTTTGTCTACACTGGAAATCTGTTTTGTATAGCCACCTTCCTCAATGATCTTATCTAGCTTCTGGATAACTTGTTTTAGCTTCTCCATTAGCACTTGCTAATTGACCTTACACTTTTGTGTTATGAAGATGGCTTCTTTCTTTAAACCTCATGAACCAACCTCTCCCAGCCTCCAACTTTTCTTCTGCAGCTTCCTTATCTCTCTGAGTCTTCATAGAATTGAAGAGAAATAGAGACTTGCTCTAGATTAGGTTTTGGCTTAAGGAAATGTGGCTGGATCGATCTACCCAGACCACTAAAACTTTCTCCATCTCAGCAATAAAGCTGTTTCACTTTCTTGTCATTCATGTGTCCACTGGCATAGCACTTCTAATTTACATCAAGAATTTTTCCTTTGCATTCATAATTTGGCTGACTGGTGCAAGGGCCTAGCTTTCAGTCTACATCGATTTTCAACATGCTTGACTCACTAAGCTTAATCATTTCCAGCTTTTGATTTAAAATGACACTTTGACTTGAACACTTAGAAGCCATTATAGAGTTATTAATTGGCCTGATTTCAATATTGTGTGTCTTAGAGAAAAGGCCCTAAGAGAGGGAAAGGAATGGAAGACCCACAGGTTAGTGGAGCAGTCAGCACACATACATGTATTAAGTTTACACCTTATGTGGGCATGGTTTGTGATGCCCCAAAACAATTTCAACAGTAACATCAAAGATCAGTGATCACAGACCACCATAAAAGATAACAATAACAAAATATTTAAAATATTGTCAGTTACCAAAATACAACAAAGAGACAGAAAGTGAGCACACGCTGTTGAAAAAGTGGTCCCAATAGAATTGCTCTAGGAAGAGTAGCCACAAACCTTCAGTTCATAAAAAATGCAATATCTGAGAAGTACAATGAAATGAAACACAATAAAACAAACTATGCCTGCATTATCTTTCTCATTGAAGGAAAAAGGTGTTTCTGGACCAAGATACTTCCTTCTTTTGGTCACTACTTTAAAATACAGAGTCTAAATTCTGGTAGAGATTTTCAAACTGTGCTCTGGAGTTCTGCACAGGGAACTTTTGCAGGAGAAAGGAAACATGAGAGGGAGAATTATGAGGGTTCAAAACTTCCTATGCCAGCTACTCCCTATCAGTACCACTTCCATTCGATTTACATGTCGAACGTCTAAGATTTTACTTGAAGGAAAAGTTATGCCCTACACTCCCCAGTCCAATCCTTGTGCAAACCTCACATTATACTGATGGTAAATTTAGGACTCATTTAGGTTAAATTAGCAGAATGTTTTTCATTAAATGGTGGTTAATAATACTTCAGAGCTATTCTAGGGTTAAAGCAAGATTTGCATATGTAAATAAAACTTACATATCTTTATTAATAAAACTTTAATTAATCAAAATTTAAAATGTTTAATTAATAAAAATTAATAATTAAATAAAACTTTATTTTTGACACCTTTTCTCATTTGACCAAAGAGTCGTCATTGGTGATTTTTTGAATTAAAACTAAGTGGAGTTTTTCCTATATAAGAATTAAAACAAATCATTATATCTCCACCATATTCTATGAGAACAAAATAAGCACATCTCCTGACAAGTATGCTCAATTCCCAACGCATTATACTTGATAAGATGTTTATATTAGTTTATCACTGCATGTTAATTGCTTCCCCTTAACAATTTTCCTCTGTACCACTCATCACATGTATAATTTCTTATCTACATCAGTTTTTACAAGTGGATTTTAACCTTCGTAAAGTCAAGGAACTCAACTATTTGTTTAGTGCTATTGAATAGGTATCTGGGATAGAATAAATGTAAAATAATTTGTGGAGGGGCAGTAATTAATGAATAAATGAAATATTTGAAATGTGTCTTACAGGTTATTTGATTTAAAACATGTGAGAATTTTGCATTCTGTTTTCATATATGATGACTTTCAAATGCAATTCCAGGTTTTTTTTTTAGTGAAACTTATTTTCTTGTTTATAACTGACTTGTTGGCATTCTTTTTAAAAAAGATCAATATCATTTATTTCTAGGAGGGGCATCTCAGAGAGATAGTCACAAATTAACAGCTATAGAAAAATCAGGCCCCCTAACTTATTTCCTATACAAGCAATCTCCTAGAAGGATAGCCAGTTCCACCGTAATATGCCTCCACCTAAAAAAGCTTTGTACAGTAAAAAAAAGAAGGAACATTTGGTTGCTAGAAGGCTTTCAATTCTTGGTCTTTGTGGCAAATGCCCAAATACATCATCAATTGATGTAATTGTAATAAATGTGACACACCTGAAATCAACTAGAGCCAAAAAGAAGCCAGTTTTCAGTCTTAACTACACTGGAGTGTATTTGAACTGGCAAACTAGAAGTGAAAAAGGATACACCTTAATAACACTCTGTGGGTCATCAGTTTTAATCACCACCTATTTTTCATATTCCATTTATTAATACATGTGAAGATTATATCAATAATAAGATTTCCATGGATTATTTTCCTTTACTGAAAGACTACTATCCTACTATTTTATTTATTTTAATTAAATTAATTAATTTATTTTTAATTTCAGAATATTACAGGGGTAAAAATGTTTTGGTTACATGGATAGCTTTTGTACTGCTTGAGTCAAAGTTATAACTGTGCTCATCACCCAGATAATTTACACTGTAACTGTTAGGTGTGATTTCACCTATCCCCTTTTCCCCCCTCTCAGCTGCAGGATTTCCATTGAGTTTTACTTCCATCTGTGCACATGAGATCAGTTAGTTCCAATTTAATAGTGAGTACATGTGGTGTTTGTATTTCTATTCTTGTAATACTTCACTTAAGAGGATGGTCTCCAGTTCCATCCAGATTGTTGCAAACGGTTTTATAAGAAATAATAAGATTTCTTATTATTTTAGAAATTTTTCTTATTAGAAATAAGAAATAGAAATTTATTTTTTTATGGCTGAGTAGTACTCCATGGTGTAAAAATACACCATATTTTATTAATCCGATCATAAGTTGATGAGCACTTGGGTTGATTCCATATCCTTGCAATTGTAAACTGTGCTACTACAAACATTCAAGTGCAAGTGTCTGTTTGATAAAATGACTTTTTTTCTTTTGGGTAAATACACAGTAGTGGGATTGCTGGATCAAATGGTAGGTCTACTTTTAGTTCTTTGAGGAATCTCCATGCTATTTTCCATAGTGGTTGCACTAGTTTGCAGTCCCATCAACAGTATATAAGTGCTTCTTTTTCTCTGCATCCATGCCAGCATCTATTGTTTTGAAACTTTTTGATAAAAGCCATTCTCATGGGGATTAGGTGATATCTCACTGTGGTTTTGATTTCATTTCTCTGATGATTAGAAACGTTAAGCATTTTTTCAGGTTTATTGGCTATTAGTATGTCTTCTTTTGAAAACCTTTGCTTATGTCTTTTGCCCACTGTTTAATGGGGTGGTTTGATTTTTGCTTGTTGATTTGCTTGAGTTCTTTGTATATTCTGGTTATCAGATGTATAGCAAGCTAATATTTCCTCCCATTCGGTAGATTGTTTATTTGCTCTGTTGATTGTTTCCTTGGCAGTAGCTTTTTAATTTAATCAAGTCCTATTTATTTATTTTTGTTGTTTCTGTGATTTCCCTTAGGTTCTTTGCGTAGGCCAATATTTAGAAGAATTTTTCCAACATATTCTTCTAGAATTCTTATGGTTTCATGTCTTAGATTTAAGTCTGTTATCCACTGTGAATTAATTTTTGTGAGTGGTAAGAGATATGGATCCTGTTTCAATCTTCTACATGTGGCTATCCAATTTCCCCAGCACCATTTATTGAATAGGGATTCTTTTCTCCAGTGTACATTGCTATATATTTTGTCAAAGATCAGATGGCATTATACGAATGGTTTTATATCTGGGTTCTCTGTTCTGTTCCATTGGCCTATGTCTAGTGTTTTGGTTACTATAGCTTTGTAGTATATAGCTTGAAGTCTAGGAAAGTGATGTTTCCATATTTGCACCTTTTGCTTAAGGTTGCTTTGGCTATTTGGGCTCTTTTATGGTTCCAAACAAAGTGTGGAATTATTTTTTCTGGATCTTAAAAAAGTGACATTGGTATTTTGATGGGGATTGCATTGAATCTATAAATCACTTTTGATTGTACAGACATTTTAACAATGTTGATTCTGCTGATCCATGAGCATGATGTTTTTCCATTTGTTTGCATCATCTTATAAAAAGGCAATTTGATATTTTTCACACTGTTCCCACTGAAAAAGTTGCAGTAAGTAAATAAAAATAAGCTCCCTTACCTAGGTTTACAAAGCCAATGTCAACATACAGTTTGGCACACAATGAGCCTAACAGGAAGCCAAAGATCGGTCCTATAATTGCAACTGTCTGCACACACCCTGCACCAAGAAAGAAAAAAAAAAAAGGAAAAAGAAGTTACTATTTCTTCACTTGGATAGAATAATAAAATTTTAAAGAAATGCAAGAGAGATCCAGTTAGCCGCTCAAAATGTTTCAACCCCTCGTTTGCTTGCATTTAATGTATCAATTTTTTAACCACATTGAATCAAGAAATAAGTGCCTCTCTGTTTTCAGAGAAGGCTGAATGTTTTTAAGGCATTAATTACCTCTTAATAAGAAAAAAAACCATCAAAATGTTGAAGAAGTTAATTTTCTAAAACGAAGCAAACTTTATTCCCTAGGATTAGATTGCCCATTGATAAAAATTAGAACTGTACTAATTTTGATAGTCTTTCAAAATTGTTTTATGGACAGTTAAAGCATAAGACTTGTCTTGACATTCAAATTGATTTCTTCTACCACACTGAAAAAGTGCGTGCATTCATTCTGAGGTTCTGGGAGATCATTCATAATAGCAGGACCCGGTTACAGATAGTGAAGGAACTAGAGTTTGTAGCAGGGAAAGTGTTCTCTGAAACCCTCAGGACCAGCCATGGTAGCCTTCACAGGTAAGTGGCACAGATGGCCTAAAGGATATAATTTCGAGTAACCATAAGGTAGCTCTTCCATGCAAACTATCTCCCATCTACCTTGCATTGAGCCACAGAGCTTAAAAATACATATATCCTTGGGAGGTTAATTTAAATTATAATAACTGGAGTAGACAGTAGTTATCAGACTCTTTCCAGAAGACAGGGTGAAGAGATCAATCTATGTGTTCCTGGAAAGAAAGGAGATACCCGGGCACCTGCATACTTCTCCGGGCTACCACATTTCCTCCAGTTCCTAGAGTGTGCTGGGACATTTCATTCCAAGTCTACTTCCTGATTTATACTGCAGTTTCCATTAGAGCGAGAATTCTGTTCTTAACTATAGCCTGCTTGGGAATAATCAGCACACCTAGGAGTTCTGCAGAGGATAGCCAGGGAAGGAGTACTTTTCTCTGTCCCTGAAGGCAAAGCCTTCAAAAGATCAAAACTCCAAGAAATCAAGACTGATGTGTGAAACAGGGAACAAGTCTTAGTCCTCCCCAGAGCTCTAGTTTCTGGCTTAATCTCACAACATAAGAGGCACCCAGCCAATGCTGTTTAAATGTTTCTGATCTTAGGAGTTTGCCTATGCTATGCCTATGTATTTTGCTTCTTGTGATTTTAGCTGCTGGTCTATTTACTGGGACCTATTCTAGAGATGAGATATCTTCAGGTGTTATTCCTAATTTTTTGAATACTTTTTTAAGTCATTCTTACCTGCTATTAATATCTCAGAAGTTCTTGCTGCCTATCCCTCATAGAAAAAAAGATACTTTAAATAATCAGGGCCTTATAAAATACAATGCAGTTTCTAGGGCTCTACAAGCAAATTTTAAAATAAATTAAAATGCCTAAATGCTTTAGCAGTATAGTTATTCCACCAAAAAGGACCTATGAAATCTGAAGCCCATGAAGATACTTTCACAATGTCATATGTCATTGCATTTGAGCCCCCAGATATTTTCTTTTAACTTAGTGTTTATTCCCTAATGCAACAGATCCTGCTAACTGAGGTGTCATTGTTCAAATTTTAAGTGTGCACTTCAGAAATGTGTGAGCAGAATAAAAGGATTGGATGTGAAGTATTAAACCTCCCATACCCTATTTACTATAGGATGGAATTGGGAAAACCAGGCACCATGCTTCCCAAGAAGACAAGAGAAGTGATATACGAATATTACCAATATAGAAAGCTGCATTGTCTTCACTGGCAAAATCATCCAGGTAGGCAATTCCCAGAGGCTGAATGGGAGTTTCTCCTATTCCACGGAGAAGGTTTCCCAGGAAAACATAAACCCACATGGAGGAGCTGGCATCAACTTCACATTCTTAAAGGGAGGGCAAAGAAGTTTGAAATTAGATTGCTATCAAAATTAAATATTTATTCTGCATTTCTACAATGTGTCTTAAAACTGGATTAGAATGCAAAAATTTTTGCAATAGTCATAATTTGATAGGAGTTTTGGCAAGTTTGGAAAATACCTTCCCTCTTTTAGTCAGTGTAAATCCCCTGCAGACTTCATTGTGTTATTACTTCTTTTTCTTCTTCCCTTTGCTACTTACTTTTTCTCTTCTTATTTTCCATCTACACTGAGCATTTTGCATTCCTGCACTCCAATCATATTCAATATCCTATCTGGGGCAAACATAAAATTTTGAACAAAGTCTTTTCTCACCTTAATTTTTACTCTTTTCTATTTTTCAGCAGAAACCACAAGTAATCTTATTGTTGACCAACTTTTCTCTGAAATTAAAATTTTTATTTGGCTGATACACCAACATTGGGCAGTATTGCCTACACCTACATGTGTTTGTTAGTGAGTAATCACTTTTAGGACTCCAGAAACAAATTCATATAAAAATTATAAACCCTATGTGCTTTGGCAGTATAGTAAAACTAACAGAAAGAATCTTTTGGGCAGTATTTTTGGAGTAAAATTTAAAGCTGATAATTTTTAAGTGCTTTCATAAAAGTAATATCTTAATATAATCATGTGAAGTAGGAAGATTATCCCCGTCATAAATAAAATGTAGTTTTGAAGAGTTTTAGCTACTTTAATAAAATCAATAGCATCTATAACCTCCAACTATCACCATTTGGAAAGCTCTCTGTCTGTCATGTGCTGGGCTAAGTGGTTTGTAGGCATTTTTAAATGGAATCCTAACAATCCAGGTAGGAGCTGCTTTCACCTATTAATAACGCTTAACGTAATTTTTGTTTGTGAAGAACGGTTTATGTGAAGAGCTGATGTGAACACTTTTGGGCAAGCGAATCAGACTGTGTGACAGGAAATTATCCTGATTCTGCCTCTTCTGGAAAAGTAGCCAAGTGATCATGGAATTTTCACTTATGTCCTCTGGAATTCTGTTATGCACCCCCAAACATGATGTGAACTCCTTTTCTGACAATTAACCGTCATGTTAATTGTAGCCCTAGCAATTGTATAATTCTGGAGAAGAAGCTTCTTGGCAAGGAGGTCTTATAGTAGGTTATTTAGTGTAGACACCTTAGGGATGTGCATTCCAATACAGTAACCAGAAGTCACATGTGGCAATTAAGATTAAAATTAATTAAAATTAGATAAAATGAATAAATCAGTTCCTCAGTCACAGTAGCTATGTTTCAAATACCCAATGGTCGCATGTGGCCAATGGCTACTATATTGTATATGTCTACAGGACATAGATATAGAACATTTTCATCATCACAGAAATTCCCGTGGACAGCTCTGTTCTGCAGTGTTGTAGGGGAGGTGAGGGTTGTGTGTGGAGCCATTTTGAGAAGATCCTTATCATCATCTTTAGGGTGAGCCTTTAGGGTGTCCACTATGTCTAAGGAAAGGACTTCAAAGGAGCAGGACCTCACTCAGAGTCTGCTGTTCTGTATCTGTCTGGAAACTTATCCCTTCACTCAAAAACATTTTAATTCCCTGACTCTAAACTCTATGTTTCGCTTCTTTACACTACACATTTAAGTATTAATTTCCTAACTGGTGGTACTGCCATTTATATCATGAGTCTTCTCTGATTGTCAAAAACGAAACAAAACATCTTCACTGACTGTACATTGTGTACAAATGAAAATCCAAACCCTTTAGTCAGCTCCCTGCCTTTTTATGTGGACCTAAATTAAATTTATTATCTGTTCTATTCTTACATAAACAAGCCCTCTGTTCTTGTCCATTGATTTGTGTGTGTCCTCCTAAAAGTATCTATTGTTCTCTTTCACACATTTCTCTTTTCTCTTCTTCTAGAATGTATTTCTTCTTTTTTTTATATAGCAGAAGAGGGCAAATTTTCACATTTAATGTTCTCCCCCTTCTGCCCCTCCCCACATTTCCATGTTTCTTCTTCAGTCCCTTGGCCTTTCCTTTCATTTGAACAGCCAGACCCTCAGTGTTTGTTGCACGGGGAAGGGATATCTTCACAGAAAGTATTAATGAAGATATTATGGGAGTGAAAAGGTTTTATGAACTGGATAAAAAGATTTGGAGCAATGGCAGGTATATAAAAGAAAGGCTTCTGCTCTGCCTGGGTAGAAATTGATTCCCCATGTTGGACATAGGGAGTGAAATGGGGGATGGCAGGGAGGGAGTGTGGGGCAAATGATGCTGGAGGGGAAAGAGAGGGTTTGTTCACCTACTTTCACTGAGTCCTAGAGATGTGGCAAGCGCCTGTGGATACACTTGTGGACTCCATGAGCAAAGGAGACCTGTGCCGTCTTGACCAAGTAGAGCCCAGGGAAGTAGAAAGACCCCAGCTATGAAATGGCTGCACAGCCCAGCTCAGCATCCCTGCCTTGGGCTCCTCACGGGCTTTCCAATGTCTAGAGTGATATAGAAGAGCTGATTCCCATGTTCCCAAAGGCAGCTCAGACAAAGCATTGCTGTGCCACGTGCATCAGCCATAGGGAACACTAGGCAGTAACAAGATTCCTGCATCCTAGCTCGTGTAGAAAATGGAATTAGTTCCATGAATCTAGGATTGTTACTTCTGAACCAGAGAATGCTACTGTGCTAAATATATATATATGAATATGGATATGTGACACCATGGTGTCAGGTATGTCCAAACACTGTGACCTGAAGGTTTTAGATATCTAAGCTGGCAAGGAACATCAGTAACCTTTCTGACTATTATGTAAGCTCCCTAGAACATAAGCAAGCCCTGGGGAAAAGGATGGAAGTTAGCGACAAATCGAGATTCAGTTTTTGCCATTTTAATGAAAAGGGGCTGAACACACAATTTAAATTGACTTATGGGGAAAATTATATTTCTTTCATATCTGAGCGATGGACTAAGATTTGTACATGCTAGAACTAGTCTTGCACAGCTTTCCAGACCCACCTTATTTGGAACCACTGAAAGATTTTCCCAGTCACCAACAATTAATCCTCTTTCTTTCCACATGATTTGATCATCTGTATATTTTCTTTAGATTTCATCACATACTACTTTATATTGTACGAATTTGTATGGCATCATAATATCTCAATTTAAGTAGTACAGCTTTTGAAAGCAAAAATCATATAGATATTTTTGTCCATACTAAAGCACGTATAAAGTCTTTTCAAAAAAGTTTGTTTAGTCAAGAAAAAAAAAAAACAAAAAACATCTTACCATCACTTATTTTGGATTGTGATTTTTCCAGAACCGAGATCGGTAACTGACTGCTTGACTCTAGGAGACACGGAGAGATGCTGAGAGTAGAATTGGGGAAAGAAGAATACCTCTCATATTTGTACCTGCATAGGAAGAACGTTTTCTTCATGATGAGCTTGTTAACATCATGCTACCGAGTTGTGTATATTACAGAACTTAAAAGAGTGCCTGGTTGAGCTTGCAACTGTCTTTCAATCTGAATCACCAAAGCAAACCAGCACTGTACAGCAGAGTCTACAGAAAAGGTAGCCAGGAAATCTGGTTCATAGGCTGTATACGATATCTGGGTTAGTCAATCAGCAAAATAAAAAGTAACATTTATTCACAGAGGCTCCTTTGAATATAAACTAATGACTATAAATCACCTTCTTGGTGAAGTATCAAGTATCCAATACTTGATAAAATCATGATTATCTCTGAGTCACAGAAAAAGCAGTAATTTAAAAACTCATAGCCATCATCGCATTGCGTTCAGAGTTGTAAATTTAGTAGAACAACTGTAAGAACTGTAAGGCTTGAACATTCTAGAGAATAGATGATGATACATGGCTGTTTGAACCATTTATCCAGATAGTATCCTGCTTTTCCTTTACAGTTCATTCATCTGGCTCCAAGTTATTTTTCATTCCATTCTTTCCTCTGTCTATAAGGCTATGATGGCAGCTGGGTTGAAAGGCCAAATGTTTGGAGGTAGGACTGTGGTAACACTGTCTACAATCCTCTAGCTTCACTTTCACATTCGAATTATCCTTCATGTGTCAAACTCCCTACTCCATTTGTTCCCTGCAGGGAAGAAGGGCCTAGCAAGAAGTTATCACAACATTACCTTGATTCTCATGTTATTCAGGCACTATGTGACCAAAGGCTAGCAATCATAGTAACATATCTGACATATTAATAGGAAAAACCTGTTTATTCAGGATGGTAAGGAAAAGATGGATTGCATTATCAAAATATTCAAGTTGATAAATGGGTTTCCTTGTATCTGTTTTGTGTAACCTACGCTTCAATGGGTTCATGAACTCCATTGAAAAAGTAAGAACATTTTGTATGCATATTTTTACAGGAATGTTTAAGGGAAGAGATTCACAGTTTTTATCATTTTATCATATGGTTCCCCGACCAAAATAGGTTAGTAACCACTTAATGAGGTTAACTGCTTTCAATCCTTAAGCTACACAGGAGAATATTTAGCATTGAAATCATGGTGAATATAATTTTATTTTGTTAATAATTACAGAGATACGATAGACAGTAATTATGCCCCAAAGCTATTAAAGTGAGCATCTATGTGGTTATGCAGTATTTGGAAAAATTTTAATTATCTGACCTTTCTCAATTCTTTTAGTCAAAAGTTTACGATTGCAAGCATAATAATTATGTAGACTTTGAATAAATGGAATCTTATGTTAAGTGTTACTTTTGTCACTAATCACTATCAGTGACACTCTAAAGAAAAATTACCCGTTTGTTTTCAATTTTCTTAGTTGTCAAATGAGAGCTATAGGTGTGGTGTGTGCTTGTGTGAGATTCTGTTAGATGAAGAGACAAAGAAGTGATTGAACAGGGGACCAGTGGTATAAATGTTTGTAAATTCGGTGATTTAGTTCTGACCTGCATTCACATCCTGACTGACACCATCTTGACGGATGTATAAAATTCTACAGCAGCGTCCTAAATAGTCTCCCTGCTTCTACACTTGCCTCACCAGAGTCAATTTTCCAAGCAGCAGTCAGTGTGGTCCTTTAAAACTATAATTCATGGCTGGGCACAGTGGCTCACGCCTGTAATCCTAGCACTCTGGGAGGCCGAGGTGGGCGGATTGCTCGAGGTCAGGAGTTCGAAACCAGCCTGAGCAAGAGTGAGACCCCGTCTCTACTATAAATAGAAAGAAATTAATTGGCCAATTAATATATATAGAAAAAATTAGCCGGGCATGGTGGCGCATGCCTGTCGTCCCAGCTCCTCGGGAGGCTGAGGCGGAAGGATCACTTAAGCCCAGGAGTTTGAGGTTGCTGTGAGCTAGGCTGACGCCACGGCATTCACTCTAGCCTGGGCAACAAAGCGAGACTCTGTCTCAATAAATAAATAAATAAATATTTATTTATTTATTTATCTATCTTATTTTGGTAGAGATGGGGTCTCATTCTTACTCAGGCTGGTCCCGAACTCCTGAGCTCAAGAGATCCTCCTGCCTCCCAGAGTGGCAGGATTACATTCATGAGCCACCAAATCCAGTCTTAGGTGCACTTTTCCTTCTGATTTTCTTGCATTGTATTCTATATTTTTCATTAACCTGAAGTAATAAAATTATTCATATGAATACAGCACCTTTAAGACAAAACCATTGCTGGTTAAAACCAAGTGGCTTAGTTGGCTAAGGAGGATGGACAACAACACACAACAATGATGACACAGCTACTCGTTATACTGGTAACCTCAATAAACATTTTACCTGTGTCATCTCATTGAATATTTGCAACAACATTATGAGCTAGGTATTACTGTTAAAGTCTATTTCAAGATGCATAAACTGAGGCCTAGAAAAGTTAAGTAACATATCCAATGTCACATATTGGAGCTACTGATCTGCTGCAAAGTGAGTTAAAATTCAAGAGTGAGGATTTATTTATCCTTTACAACTACTTTAAAATTTTTAATTTTTTTAGTAGTGGAACTATTTTTCCTCTCTGAGAAAACTGTTCCATAAAGGCCCATAACATTATCATGAGTCAAGCTTAAATTTAAATAATTATAATCATAAAGAAAGAAATGCAGTTGTTTGATAAGGCAAGAAAACAATGATTGCTTTAGACTTACTGGTCCATGAAGAACTGAGGCATTGCAATGAGCAATGTTCCAACTCCCATGATTAGGCAACCTGCTCCAATAATTTTTGGCCTGTGAAGTTTGGCTCCAAAGTAGCTAACAAATGTTATAACTAAGAGATTCCCTTTGGGGAAAAGAATAAAGCATTCATAAGTTAGAGAACATAGAAAAAAGTCAACAGCATAACTGCTAATAAATGAATGAATAGCAGGTCTAGCAATGTTTTGTTTTGACTAAACCATCTCCCCACCATCTTTCCCATCATTTACCCTTCTTTTCTTTAATCTTAGATGACTCCTGAAACTCTTTTCATATTCATTACTTCAACCACCTAATCCCTTTGTCAAAATATTTTAATTACATCCCTTCTATCTCACTATACCCAACCTAATTATTTGTCCTGGTAAAGTATTTTATCAGTGAATCAAATTGTAGAAGGCTCTGTGAATCAAATTGTAGTTGCTCTGTTAAATCTTCTTTAATTATTTTGAGGTAAACTTTCTCATTCTTTCTTCTTTCACTTAAGTTTTCTATTAAAACTGCTATTAGTTTTCTAATTGCTCCTGAAACATACATTACACATTCTCTCTTTCCCTAATATCCCTTATAGAAAAGGTAAAACAACCACAACTTTAAATGAAATCAGATCACTTAAAATGAAATCAGATTAGGAAACTTATATTTGCACAAATGATACTTTACAATTTGTTTATTAACTTTTTATAAAAAGACTCAGAATAGAAATAAACATCCACACAGACAGCATCAGCTGTATATCAATTATATAATCTCACTGTATACCTATAACACAACTTTTATGAAATACAAAATCGCCATAAAATATGCCCATCTATCTCTTTCTTGAAAAATAATTATAGAAAATGTGGTTTTCGAAGATAGGAATTATGCCTTTTTAAAACGTCTCTAGTGAAGCATGTGTTAAGTTACTTTTAGTTGATGATGGTGATAACTGATTAAAGGAGGAGTTCTCACGCTTTGCTGTGCATAGGGAAATGGAAACTTGTTAAAATGCAGATTATTGGCAGGTCCAGACAGTTTCCAATTCCATGGATCTGGGGGCAGGCCAAGAAATCTGCATTTCCAATACTAGCTCGAGTGTGTTGATGGGCATGGTTCCTGGAACATGCTTTGATAAACATTTTTCAGGGTCTTAAGTTTCAAGGGGCTTTAAAGTTTTAGCTACATTTGTTTGGAATATTTCATTTCTAAGAATTACAGTGCTAGATAAAGCAAGAACTTAACAATCTCCAGCAATTGACTGTGATGGCTGATGGCTGCCTTTGCTTTGAAGTTCTCCTGGATATTTTCAATTTTCTAGCAACAGTGTGTTTCCTTACATCTGTAAGCAATCATCTAATTCACTACTGTTCAGTCACATTGCCAGCTTTCGTCGATTGGAAAAAAGATCAGCAATTTTTATAGCCTTGAGGATAATAATAATAATGACAGGGAGAAAAGTAACTTGCACAGTGGCTCTCATCTTTGGGGCTCCAGGAAGAATTAAGCTCTTTTCAATGTTGACATTAAGAAAATAATAATTAAGCATGACGTTTCCCATTTGACATTTAAGTATTTAGTAGAAGACATTTTGAATCACATTATATTGATATTTATATCTATGCCTTTGTTAACGTGCCACAGTAAATAAACCAAAATAAAGTGAAAATTGACTTTCAGCTTACAGGTAACCCCACTCTCATCTCCTTTATCCTTCACCAATAAGACACAATAACGGACTCATATTTATAGGCTGTTTCTCCATTACATTAGTGGATATGTCAAATACAAGATGATATGATTTCCCTATCTGTGATATCTATACAAGTTTTTCTTCCTTTACTTATATCCTTTCTGAGTTCTCAGGAAATACACTTGGAAACTGAATAGTGATAAATCATCTTAAAAATTGAATTGGATATCAAAATTCTTTCATATCTATCATCGCTAGCCTCTGACAAAGAAAACAGGTTCAGAGAGTTTTACAAATATCTCTTACCAAACTTTAAGAGAAATTCTCTATCTTTGTCTATCTCTCTCTGCTTGCACACCACACCACACACACACACACAAACACACATGCACATGCACACAGACACACAATTTCACATGACAGAAAAGAAAAGCTGCTCAATTCATCCTAGAAGATGAACATAATAACTTTGAAATTCAAACTGGACAAGGATGATATAAGAAGAGACAACTAGTGCCAAAACTTAATTATGAAGATAGATGTAAAAATCCTAAACAAAATATTAGCAAACTGAATAGTGCATAAAAATAAACACATCTTGACCAAGTACAGTCTATTACAGGAGTACAAGGGTACCACCAAATTTAAAAATTATTTATTAAATCACTATGTAACTAATGGAAGGAAACCAATTCTATGGTTATCTTAGTAGATGTAGTAAAAGCACTCAATACAATTAATTACTCATTAATGATAGGGAAAAAATCTGAGCAAAGCAACTTTTAAAGTGCATCTATAAAAAGTACACAGCAAGCATATTGCTCAATGGTAAAATTTTAAAAGCATTTGCATTAAGATCAAATACAAGAGAAGGATGCCCATTGTAATTGCTTCTACTCAACATAGTACTGGGGCCACTGCAAAAGGGAAGAACGACAACAAAAACAGATCTAAGAGTTGGAAAGACAGATTAAAAATTGTCTTCTGTTTTAGACAATATGATTGTCTATTTCAACAAAGTTGTTACATACAAATAACATTTAGAAGTCAATATTATTCCTACATTGCAGGAGTTATCAAATAGAAAATGTGGGAAAAATCCTTTTCACAGTAGCAACAGAAAACTTAAATATGAAGGGATAAATCTAACAAAATATTAGTAATAAATATATAGAGAAAATTAACAAGAAAATATTGAAAGCTATGAAAACAAAAGGCCTAACTAGATGAGAGCTAAACCATGTTCGTAGATGGGAAGACTCACCATCACAAAATGTCAGCTATCTGATATGATCCATATCCAGATTGGGTTTGATTGGAATTTTATGCAATTTCAGTCAAACCCAAATAGGATATTCCAGACTTCAGAAAACTTATCCAAGTATATCTAAGAAAAATTTGAAACACAAAGTTGGAGATTTTCCTACCTGAAAACAAAGCTAATAATAAAACTATAATCATGAAGATAGTCTTGTATTGAGTCAGGAATAAGCAGATGTATGAAACAGATTTACATGGAGGTAGTAAGTTAATACATGATAAAGAAGGCATTACAAATACTTGGGCCAAGTACATATTCAATTAGTGATGATTGGACACTTGGGTATAATAGTATAGAGAGACTTCTACATCACACCATCTAAAAAATCTATTTCAAGTGGACTAAATACTAAAATGTAAAAAGCAAAACTTTTATATATTTAGAAGAAAGTACACAGAAACCTTTTTAAAATAAATAATTAATATGTGGAAAATATTAGGAGGTCATGATATGAAAACCTTTTTATTTTCTTGGTGACTTTGTCATTTTTGGGAAAAGTCTTTGTTATGAAAAGCGTACTTTACTTAGGGGAGAACTTGAGTCTCTACTATGTGGCCGTTAGAGGATAATGTCAAGAGCTGTCAAAGGAAAAAGGACATTGTTCTACAAAATACAATGACTGGGAAGTAGACATGGAGGTTGGTAATGGATCCAGATTCCTGGAAAGAAGGAATGTGGAAAGAGGCAAGAGAAGTAAATTAAGATTACAGTCAGGACACTCATTTTTCTGGAAATATATGGATTGCAAATAACCAGGGCAAATTCTTGGATTTGATGCTTGGAATAAAAGTTTCCAATGGAACTTAGAGAACTTTTAAGCCATTTTAAGGCATCTCATACAATAAATAATTTTTATCCTTAGAATGGTCTAGAACAATTAATATGAATTTGGAGTTAGCATACTTTGTCATTTTCTATGAAAACTTAGCACTCTTTAGCAAATACAGACTCTCTCAGCTTGCATTGGGACCTGGGAATTCAAGAAAAAGTTTGGATCAAATCATTTCTAAGTCTCTTCAGCTCTAAAATGCTTTTATACAGTAATCTAGAGTGAGGGGGAAAATCAAAGTATCACATGATACATCATTTTTTTATCTACTCATATTTGCTTCTTTCTGTGAGTCCACTTTATTCTTTCAATCTGCACCAATCGCCTCTTCATTCTTGTTTCTTCTAATCATATAGTCTGCCACCCTTCCCTTGACGCTCCATGGCTCCTCATTCAGTCCACAGCGATTGGCAGAACAGGGATCAAGGAATAAATGAACCATGTGGGCCTATCTAAGGAGATTCCATAAGGGTGTGATCAGATGTTTTAGAACCTTGCTACACAAAGTGTGGTCCATTGATTAAAAGCATCAGCATCATCTGAAAGCATATTAGAGATGCAGAATCTTATCCCCTCCCTACAGAATCAGCATCTGCATTTTTAAAAGATTGCCTAGTCATTATTACGAACGTTGATATTTGATGGGCACTTAGAAATTTCATTCTGGTAAGATGACAAAAGATGGATTTGGGAAGCAAAAGCCTGGAGACAAAAGGTTCCCTATTCATTCTTTTAATTCTTTCTGTGATATTCAGAGTAAAACAAAAATATATACTATGAAGTAAAATAAATAAATTGTTAAAGAGTTGGAAGATAATTCTTCACTCTTCTGAAAGTTCATCAGGTAAAGCTAAAATTAGAGCAGTTAGAGGTTTTACTATCACATATATTTGAGTCCAATCAGGCATTAAGGACCACAAAGGGTACTGTTTTGTTTACTTCAACAAAGAATTAAAGCCTCTTAGTTTATCAATTCAGGAAGCTGACTAACTGGGATTATACTCTTTAAAGTACTTCCAAAACAGTGGTTGAAATCACTTGGCATTTTCAAGCTCTAAGAGGGAGTCCCTAGTCAATTGCTAACTGAAGACACCTGAGCAGAGAATTGTTATTGCCTGCTGTGATCTGGTGTTCTTGTGAATAGAATCCCTTTTTTTCTTCTTACTAAGCCACTGGGCCGACAATCCCTTTCATGGTTAAACTTCTTAAATCATTGCAACAGATTTTTGTAGAGTCCATTTGGATTCTTTCAAATCTCTAAAATTGAATCACAGGGCTCCTAGGTTATATCATTCTTCTGTAAAGACACTTGCAACATGCTGATAACTCAAAATACCAATCAGCATCCCACCCCCTCCTCCAGGAAAGTCTCCCATTCTGACTGGGAACTCTGAATTGTGTGAGTCGTACAATAGTGAACATCTGAAGAGGTGCATTTTTCGTTGGTTGCTCTCAGAGCAAATTGCTCCTACTGTAGCATAAAGTTATGGCAAATTTTGTCCAAACAAGAGTTTACAAATAGAGTCAGATCCCAGCAGACCACCGAAGGCAGAAAGGATGTCATTTAGCCATGCCTAGAAGAGCTTGTGCTTAAAAGTAAAGTCAGGCATCTGCAATACCTACCAATTTCAAAACTACCATCAATAACTCCCACCAGTGAAGAAGGGATATCAAACCTTCTCTCTATCTGAGTGATGGTGCTCTTCAGATAGCCTTCTGCCAATGCTTTGGCAAAATAAACGAAAGACAAGGCACCCAGGAACAGCTGGAAAATATGACAAGTCACAGTCTGACTGCAGGTTGGCACACAATTGGAAACTTGTTAAGCAAACAGACAAATCAAAATACAAACTAAGAACAATGCGTAATATCATGTTTGTTATCATTGAAGATTTAATTCAAGCATTACTACGGGTTTCCTTCAGCCTCAAGCAGATGTAGATTTTCCAAAAATTCAAATTCTCTTGGAATTTGAAATGTATGTTGATTTTCATTGAAAATGTATGCTGAGTTCCTTTTCGTCCCTTTCTCCCACCATCCCCCATAGGACCCTCAAAGATGTCTTGCTTTGAAAATAAGATTGAGTGTATGGCAGGTAAAAAGATGAAAGAGCCATTCATAGGTAAGGAAATAAAGCAAATGAAAACCATAAGCCAAAGTCTTGACGTGTTATCACAAGTCTTAGTGTTGTTCGTGGTTATGTGCTTCACAGCGATGGTGCGTGTACCAGCAGGGGGCATAATACATAGACTGAAAAAGTGGAACTGCTATTCCTTGTGTTTTATACTTATTAAATTCACACTCAAGTTCTTTCTTAGTGAAAAGCATTTCTTTGATATCTGGCTTATGTATTTTGCTAGACATGGGTCTGTGATGGAGTATTTATATGGCAGGTTAGCATTTATACAAAAAAAAACCCACATAAATATTTGTTGAGTGAGGATGTGGTATAAGGAAAGAGTAGGAGCTACACAGAGCACATGAAAAGCAACCCTACCCTGTAATGAGTAACGTTATTCCCATTTTGTATTGGCTTTTATTTATAAAATGGGAACAATGTGGGTGTTTAATACATTAAATGGTATACCTGTGCTTGGCACAATATCTGGTACATAGTAGAAGTTCAATAAATATTAGTTTCTACTATCTCTCTTGTTTCTGTCTAGGAAGGGCATTCAAATGAGTCCAGGAAAGTAATTTAAACTACACGGTCAGGCAGTGTTTCCTTGCATCACTTGGCAAAGTGTGGTTTTAGTGAATTACATTTAAGATCACTTTGTAAAAGGGAAAAATATTCTCTCTCTAACTTCCTCATATAGAAGCTATCTGGATAGAAAGCCAAGAACATCAACTCCACCTAATTCTCTGTTACTCTACCTTTAGTTCACCACAGCAAGGTTGTTTTTCCTCTGAGGAGGGATATTCTGTTTTCAAGGAAGTCCTTCCAACAGGTTGTGCTGAATTTTTGCAGAATAACTGGATATTTTCTTTGGATGAAGTGTCCATTATAAAAGTATTCCTTGCCTCTGATCTGTCAAAGTTGATTTTAAAAGTAAAAAGAAAAAAATGAATTCAATACTATGCAATTTATTAAATAATATTTTTATTCAATTCTACACCTCAATTCTATAGATTAAATTAAAAGTGAAGCTACTTTTTGTTACAACAGTAAGTTGGCAACATTTTTCAATTAAAATCAACCAGAATATTTGATTAACTAATCCTGCTATTGGGACTCTGTAGCCAGCATTCTTTCTCAATCCCTCCAGTTTAAGCCTCTTTATGGCAAAGAATAAATTTAAAAGTTGCCTTTGGAATAAATAACAAGGCAGAATTTTGCTAACTTTGTGGTCTTGCCAGTTTAAACTAGGAGAAAGCAGGGAAGGAAGAAAAGGAATTCAACCATGTGAATATTGATTCATTAGAATTAAGTCTTTTATTAAAGCCTTTAAATCTATCTTCCTAGCAGAACAAATAGAAGAGGTTGATACCCATCATAGGTTTCGATAGCGCCTTATGATTCCTGCTGCACCCAAAGCAAGGCTTAAAATATGGTAAAAAAGGAAGAGGTCCAATTCATTTATTGTTTTAGTTTGAAAAATAAGAAAGCAGTGTGATCTTGTACCTCAGGCTTAGATCTAATTCAAGTGAAAGGATAGTCCTTTGGCTGTCTTAAATAAAAAGTGATGAACTTCCTTCCTATGTTTAATTTCCCGCCTCCCCTCACTCTTGTCCTGAACAAACCCTGGACAGTATCAAACACTGAACCTATTTTCTCCCTGTTCACATCAATATTTACATATCCTGTGCCCCTACTTTTTTAGGATTACACACGGTTCAGTGCCTGCTTGCTTGACACTCTAATCTAAATCAAGGAATTCAAAAAATAAAATAACTTCTGGATCTTCCTAATACTATTAGATGACACAATTGTATGTTAACAGAGATCTTCCTTCTATACTCACATTACATTAACTAAAGGAATGGCATTAGGAATAAAATTTCATGTATTGCGGTAGGAATTTTGGCTTATTCTGCTTGTGTGTATATCATCTTGACTTTATGCAATGCTTGTTTTATGTTTACTAACTTCAACCATCATAGTCTGAATGCATAGATAGTATCTCAAACTGAAAAATCAAGCGATAGTAGTATAAAAAATTGATTTTAAAATATGAAGTCAAACATCAGGAGACTAAAACAACTTAAAAGTAGAGTGGATTCTTCCAGGGAGTGGGACATAAATAGAGAAAGGGCAGGGCAAAGGCTTGGTAAAAAATTATTATTAGGCTTATAGAGTGTTTGATTTCATAAACATGCATAACTTTAATTTAAAAAAAATGGACAAAAGAAAGAAAACTGAGTGAAATAAAAAAAATTGAAAAACCAAAAAATTAAATAAAACAAAGAGCTTATAATGCTAGTCAAGACCAAAAGACAAAAATACGAGGATATAATATTAGTGAGATTATAACAAAGATGATTAGGAGTATAAAACATAAAAATGATGTACAATATATAGAAATAATTTTAAAATCTTGACAAAATGGATGCATTTCTAGCAAATATTAATTACTTGTTTTGGCACAAACCAGAAGAGAAAAATAGCCAAGGAAGACATTATCAAAAACACTCTAAAACTATTCCCTAAACAAAGATGCTCAGGACTGAGGACACAATAGGAATGGCTTTATCAAGGGCTGTTCTTCAAGGAAAGACAGCAGATAATGGAAACAGATAATCATTGTCTCCATTCATTTGACAAAACTAAAATTATCTTGGTAGCAAAATCACATAAAGGAAAACTTCAGATCAAACCCATAGATTATAAAATTCTAAATAAAATACTAGCAAATCCAAATTAACTGACTAATATAATATAATTAGGACTATCCTAAAAGATGTAACAATTAATAGTAGGAAACTTATTCATCTGAATTATCATATGAAGAATTCAAAATTAAAAAGAATAAAATCTCAATAAATGAAAAAAATCAGGTGATAAAATTCAACATCCATTCCTGACTTTTAAAAAAATTCTAAGAAACTAAGAGTATAGTTTACCAGTATTATCTTTTTTACCAGTATTATCTTCTTTACCAGTATTTGATAATAGTAGCCAACTTCATACATGCATTGAATCACTAAGGCTGCTCTTCCAGAACAATGAAAAGAGAGTTTGGGAAACACTGGTTTATTTAATGTTAAGTAGGTTTCTTTACTGCAAAACTACTGAGTACCTTTAATTGAACTTGTAGAGAGAGAGACCCATTGCTTATAATGAAAAAAAAAATCAAAACCAAATGATCTAAATATCATTTATGCAATGAAAATTTTTTAAGCCATTGGAGATTAGTGTAAAGAAGTAAATATAGTTATACAGATTCTACATTCATTATAGATTGATTTTTAAAATATATGTTACAAAACGGAATATGTAATGAACTATTTTATGAAAGCAACACACATATTCACATATGTATATGCAGAGACAAAGCTTCAGAAAGTTTATAAACAAAAGGTTAGCACATTATTTCTGGTTGGTAGCATTGCAGATGATTTTTCAAAAAATGCTTTGTGTATCCATATTTTCTAATTTTTCTACAATGAACATGTATTTTTTATATAAAAACATTTGAAAATATTAAAAATATCATGAAGCAGAATATAAAAAACAGAAACATTTTACAATACAAAATATTAAATTTACAACTTAAAATACAACATTCTTCCAAGAAAGTAAACTATGTAATTCAAATTGGCCTTCTGTTTTAAGGGTCTAGATATCATATTATTTTCCATCAGTTATAAAATTAAAGCCAGTGATCAGAAAATGCAAATAAATTGTTTAATAATAAAATATGCTATGACTTATGCTAAATTTATCATTAATAGATTCAATGGGTTATATCTAAAATGCTACTGCTAGAGTGTAAAATAATCATGTTGAAAACAATATTTAAAAATTTCGACCCTAAAACACATTGTAAGTTTCCTTATATTTGAAGATGTTGATACAAAAATCACTCTAACCAGAATTCAGAAACAATAACAAAAGGGAAATATAGTCATCTTAATTAATGTTGTGTTAGGGCAAAATAACACCCAGCTTAAAATATTGGCACTGCATAGTTTTGCTGCAGACATAACTTCATCTCGCTGGCTAATATGCAAATCATAGTAAGTATAGTATGTTCCAAGGAGGCTACAGTTCATCCCCGGTGAAAAGAGGTGGAAGGAAACTCAGTGACATGAATGGAAAGATCCTTGGGGCATGCAGGCTCTCTGTCTTCATTTGCAACTGCAGAAGTAGAGCAAGCAGCACACAGTTATTCAGAAGGAATTGCATTTGGCAAATCCCCTCAATTGAGCTCCAGCCACTTGAATAGATTCTTCCAGAAAAAAAAAAAAACAAAAAAAAACATATGGCAAAGTTTTCATCCAATACCCTGGGTTGGAGTATAACTTATTCTGAAGGCCAAAGAAAAACGCACCAAAGAGTTTTGCTTCATTTCGATTTGAAAAAAAAAAAAAATGGAATTCTCTGCTCATATGGGTTTGAAAATCAGCACTTGCAGATTTTAAATGTAGGGCACAGGTGGCTTAGGAAGGTTGTAGTTGGATCACACGGATGCACTCAACCCTGGGGCTCTGAAACAGAGACTCAGACTCTAGCCAGCAGCCAGTTTCCACACGCTGCACGGAGCCGTGCAGACAGCCACTCCCCTCTCTCTTCTCTTAGCCATCTCTCATGAGGAAAACCCCTGCCCTGCGCTGGCTTCTGGCCACCAGAATCCCTCCTTTCAGATGCTCTAAAAAATAACCTCCCGGTACGTGTGGAAGAGAGGTGTGTGTTGTTTACAGACTAATCCTCTCCCATCCAAATGATTCATTGTGTGAGATTCAAATTTACTAAGCACTGTTTTTGTGCCAGGGGATGTATGTACTTTTTCTAGCCTTTAAAACAACCCAAAAGACTCACCTGAGAAACAAGGCAAGCAAAAAAAGAAAAAGAAAGAAAAAAGTAAAAAATAATAAAAATAAAACAACCCAAAAGGCTTAGTATTATAATTCCCATTTTTTAAAGTGATATGACTCAGAGCAGTTAAGTTGACTTGTCAAAAGCTATCAAGTAATGAGCATCAGAGGCAAAATCTGAACCCAGATTTGAATTTATCTGCCCTTTTTTAAACCAATCTCCTCTCCTTATTTCCATCAGACTAACAAGGGGCCCATCAACTTACATTGAGAATTCTTATGAATAGAACACAAATAGTGCAGAACTGAAGGGTTCATTAACTGTTCTCCTGTGGGAATCTGATGTCCTAGTCACAAAATACGAAAGAAGAGAGCAAAATCTTACCTGGAGGTGGAGATCAAAGACTACCAGTTCCTCTCAACGTGTTCAGCAAGAGGCTGGACCACAGACTGCAAGGGGAAACTGAGGTAAATTCCACAGCAATTTTGAACAGTTTTGCCAGGTGGGGAGAGCTTGGGTGGACACAGCCAGGGAGGATTAAGGGAAAGCAAAGATGAAGGGCATGGTCTCACCCTGGGCAATCTCTTCTCTTTTTCGTCTTTCCTCCTGGCCTCTTTTTTTCTGGCAGTCTGCAGAGAATTGGCCAGGCTGGCAAGGCCACTGACGCTCATCTCAGCTCCCAGGGCACAGAAAGAGCTGAAGCCTTTGAGCCATTTCCTTGCAATTTGCTGCAAGTTTAAGGCCACACGTGATAAAGCTTTCTTTATGGGAGAGAGTGAAAAAAGAAAAGACCACTTGTGATCTTACTTGCTGATTCCCAGAAAACACAACTCTGCAGGGGGCAGAGGGTAAAGGAACAGAAGCCAGAGGAGGGACGGAAGTTTGTAACAAAGACCCCTCCTTCTCCTTCCAAAAAGTTTTTAAGCCAACCATTCCTTAGGGACATCACTGGGATCCTTGTGTCTTGTTTGTTTGTTTGTTTGTTTTGTTTTGTTTTGTTTTTTAAAGGCTCTTGGGCTAACTCACAGCATGGTTTCCTTTACCGTTGGGATTCTAGAATCTTCAGAGACCACATATCAGGTCAGGATCAAAGCACTGCAGGGCTCTCTAGAGAAAGTTAATTCTCAGAGGCATGATCAAATGCTCATATCCACAATTTCTCTGAGTCTTGAAAACAAACAACAGAAAACCAGGTTGAATTTTTGGCATTCAATTGTTTATTCTACCTAATTCTGAAGAAAAAGAAATCCTTGCACTGAGAAATTCTATAATTCTAATAAATTCTTTTTCCAAGAGGATGATATTAGAGGATTTTGAGCAGTATTAGTTTGCATTTGGTTCCTACCAATAAATGGATTTGCTACCGGAATTATCCAAGATTTACCCTATTCTTAAATGGCTGAGACTCTGGGCTGGTCACTCAATTTCACTGAGTCTCAATTTCTTCCTTTATAAAGCAGAAGTTTTGTTTAAAAAAATTAAACAGATTTGCAGGATTATTTTAAAGGCTAAATTATGCCATGTATTCAAAAGTACATTGCAAATAAAGCACTAAGTAACTGGAATACATCATCATTATATATATAATTTTAGTTCACATAATAGGATGCTTAATCACTATTATTAAAAGCACATTTTACTCTAAAAGAAAAAAAGAGGATGTAAGGAAAATGAGATTTATCTTAAACCTTACAATGAAACAGTGGTATATCCAGACTCTGAAAGACCAAATATTTTATCTTAGCAATCAAACCAGCCTTTGACATCAGACACAGCGAACAAACAACTTAATCCTGTGTTAGACTTTTCAGTCTAACAGGAGGCCATTGGTATATTAAAGGTGAGATAGTATTTAACAGCCAAAAGCACAAAGGGCCTACTTTTCCTCACCAAGAAATACAATTCTCCCCTGAGGATGTAATTTGGTCTATTCCCAACTTGCTCAAATTCACTAACATGATTCCTTTTCTTACTTCTGCAGGCCACAGCCAATGTTACTATTCTGAACGTACGTAATGCTGATTTGATGCAATATTCAGAAGCTCTTATGTATTCCCTTGCATTGGATCGTATCCTACCTCAGCCTCTCATTCCCATTTTCATACTCTAGACCAGGGGTTAAAAATATTTTTTCTATGAAGCAATAAATATTTTAGGTTTTGCAGAGCCATACAGTTTCTATCACAACCACTCAACTCTGCCATTTTGGTGTATAATTAAGCATAGATAATATATTTTAATATAAACAAATGCATTTTCTAGGGTTGCAGTAACAAGACATCACAAGTTGGGTGGCGTAAAACAACAGAATTTTGTTGTGTCCCAATTTTGGATGCCAGAAGTCCAGCATTAAGGTGTTGGCAGAACAATGCTCCCTCTGAAACTTGTAGCAGAGAGTCCTTCCTGGCTTCTTCTATCTTCTGGTGTTTGCTGCCAACTTTCGGAATTCCTCGCTTTATAGATGCATCACTTCAATATTTGCCTTGGTTATCATATGGCCATCTTCACCTTGTGTGTCTCTGTCTTCCATTCTTAAAAGGACACTAGTCGTATTCAATTAGGGCCCACCCTAATGACCTCATCTTAACATCATTATGTCTGCAAAGACCCTATTTCCAGAAAAGGTTACGTTCACAGGTACAGGGGGTTAGGACTTGTCCATATCTTTTTTGAGGACACAATTCAACCCATAACACTCATATTCACATTTCCCTCTTTACTTGAGTTGTTTCATGCAGTCATTTTAATCACTCCCTTCTGTATACCCTCAATTCCCCTCTTCCTCTTTCAATTTGTGGTTCTTCTCTGGCAAACCTCACCTGGGTTGCATCCAACTTTCTGTCTACTTATTGTTTGCATTCACACTGTTTTCAGTAGTTGGAGAACAACTCACTAACATGCCCTCAGGGCTTATTTTATAACCACCAACTTCACTAATACTTCAGCAGAAGTATTGTTACACATAATATCTTTTAAGGACCCAATCACTTTATATTTCTTCTGAATCATTTCTCAAATCTTCTTTTTTTTTTCTGTACCCTCTTTATTAGCTGACAATCTTGTTTAGGGAATTAACCAATGAAATGGAAAAACTCAGGAGGAATATCACAACCTGCCATCATGACAGCTACCCTCTCTCCACCTACATGTATGTTCATGTTATCTGTATTCCTTCCTGCTTCTGGGGCTGAACAGTTCATGCTTCTAAACCCAAGCTTTCATCTATACACTTTATCTAAAATTCCTCTCCTCCAATTCTTTTTTCACCAACTCTAGTCAGTTTTTGCCTCTATCACTCCATTTCAACAGTTTCCATGAATAACATCAAAGACGTTCACATTAACAAATCCAGTGATCAATATCCAGACCTCATTTTAATAGATCTATTATTAGATAGATCTATTTAATAGATCTATTATTATTTAATAGATCTATTATTATTTAATAGATCTATTTAATAGATCTAGCAGAATTGTATACGTTTGATGTAATACATTAATTCACAATTACTCTTTAATACATTTTCTTCACTTGGTTCATTGAACGCTGTACTCCCTTGGTTTTCATCCCACCCCAGTGGTGCTTTCCTCTTAGTCTTCATTGCTGGAGTACCCTACTATTCGGTCCTTGGAATTTCTTCTTTGCTCTCTCTATACTTACTCCCTTCATGACCTCATCTGGTCTTATGGCTTTAAATATCATCTATAAAATCAGATCAATGAGATGAAGGAAAGCTTTGTAGACGCAAATTTGAATTAAGAGTTTTTCAGTCTGTAAAAAAAAAATCTGTTTTTGTCTATATCTATTAATAGATAGATCTATCTATCTATCAATATCTATCATCTGCCTATATCCTACCTCTCTCCACTAAAAAGATCTAGACACAATGCCCAACTAAGTAGCCATGAGTGCAACTAGCATTGAATTTGCATCTATATCTGGGGTGTTACAAAAAGTATTGCTTCACCATCTTTTTAAAGGCTGCACAGTACTCCATAGTATACATACACAGCATTTTATTAGCCACCTCAGGACCAGCGTCGACTGTAGCCGACAGCCACAGATGAACGCGCACAGTGGCTTTAGCCGACAGCTGTGATATGACTTTTCTAATTTTTCATTTGTCAAAGTAAAATTGTGAACATTTAAAAATAATGTAATAAAAACATATATGTATATGTTACCTATTCTGATTTACATTACAAGTAAAGCTGCCTGTAAAGTAAAACAAGCTTTGAGTGCTTTAAAGCTTTAAAACTTTAAAGCTTTCCTCATCACACAAGAGCAAAACGAATTCGTCGTCAATGCACAGCACAAGCTATAGTGCGGACTAGGAGTGCCGGTTGTGGGCAACGTTTTCCAGCTGGTGAGCACGGTCCCGAAGTGCTTAATGCACTTACATAGTGATAGGCACTTGGGCTGATTCCACATCTTTGCAACTGTAAATTGTGCTGTGATAAACATTCGGATGTGTGTATCTTTTTGATAACATGACATTTTTCCACTGGGTAAACACCCAATAGTGGGATTACTAGATCAAATGGTAGGTCTACTTTTAGTTCTCTGAGGTATTTCCATACTATTTTCCACACAAGTATAGTTTATAGTCCCACCAACAGTGTATAAGTGTTCCCTTCTCTCTGCATCCATGCCAACATCTGTTGTTTGGGGATATTTTGATAAAAGCCATTCTCTAGGGGTAGGTGTTATCTCATTGTGGTTTTAATTTACATTTCCCTGATGGTTAGAGATTTTGAGCATTTTTTCATATATTTATTGGCCATTAGTCTTTATGTCATGTCTTTTGCCCATCTTTTAATGGGGTGGTTTTATTTTATTTTATTGTTTTGCTGATTTGCTTGTGTTCTTTGTAGATTCTGGTTATTAGCCCTTTATTAGATATATAGCATGCAACTATTTTCTCCCATTCTTTAGGTTTTCTATTCACTCTATTGATTGTTTCTTGGCTATACAGAAGTTTTTTAGTTTAATCATTTTTCTTTTTTTGTTGTGCCCTTTCCTGGCATTAGTATCAAGATGATATTAGCTTCATAGAATGAATTGGGGAGGATTCATTCTTTCTTGATGTTATGGAATACTTTCTACAGTACAGGAACCAGGTCTTCTTTGAAGGTCTAGTAAAATTCAGATGTGAAACCATTTGATCTAGGACTTCTTTTTGTTGGAAGATTTTCTACTGCTGCTTCAATTATAATACTTGATATTGGTCTGTTCAGAAATTCTATTTCTTCCTGATTGAGCCTAGGAAGGCCATGTGCTTCCAAGGATTTGTCCATTTTCAAATTTATGTGCACAGAGATTTTTATATTATCCAGAGATGATGTTTTGTATTTCCATGGTATCAGTTGTAATATCTCCTTTTTCATTTCTGATTGAGATTATTAGAATCCTTTTTTTTTCTGCTTCTGGTTAATCTAGTAAGAGGCCTGTCAATTTTCTTTTCTTTTCAATGAACTTTTTGTTTAATAATTCCTCTATATAATTCTTTTGTGATAAATTTCATTTAGTTATGCTCTCATCTTGGTTATTTCTTTTCTTCTCCTGAGTTTGAGATTGGTTTTCTCTGCCTTTTCCATTTCCTTAAAATGATTTATTAACTTGTCGATTTGTGATCTTTCTGTCATTTGCATGTAGACATTGAGGGCTATGAATTTTCCTCTCAGGATTGCTTTAGCTGTATTCCACAGATTTTTGATGACTTGTGTCCCCTTTATCATTTTTCAAAGAGTCTTTTAATTTCCATCTTAATTTCTTCCTTGAGCCAGATATCATTTAGCAGTAGGTTGTTT